TGGGTGATGAAGAATAACAGGAGATATTATTTCGACCATCAAATTCAACTCGGTCGGGATGCATAAAATAGCCGTGTCTGTCAATCAAATAAGCAGCGTTTGTCCATTAAATAGGAAGATTGCAGGGCTTGAACACACTATCATTTACCTTGCTTGAGTTTTCGCCAATTCTATATAATGGTCGTCATCCTTTATTCGTCAAAAAAAAAAAGCCATTCGCTTTCGGTTTTACTACCAATGTTTTCCTTTCCACTGCTGATGTGGTGAGCTGTCAGAAGATGATTTTTTTCCTGTCAGCTGCTCCAGAACACGTGCCATTTTATGTTTTACGGAATAATCTACAATAATGTACAAATGGACTAGAATTTTATTCTTGGAGAGAATTTCAATTGATAAAAAATACGCATGCTGCAAATGATACATTTGTGGATCCGGACGATGTACAAGTTTTTAATTCAATTTGTAAACCGCAGATTTTTTCAAAAATTGCTTAAAGCCTGTGCATATTTGCGTATATTAAGGGCTCATTTTTATATTTCATCGTATGATGAGCTATAATAATCTTTTCCGGAATTTAAAAACAAGAATTGGAAGAAAACATTATGAATCTATACTCGAAACACCAAATCACGTAAGAAAATTTAGCAGAAGATCCGTTTTTCCTAAATACGATCAAAGAAAATTAGAGATTAGCAAAATTGTAAAAATAAATACCTGTAATGCCAGCAGCTCTGATTCGAATACGAATTTTTGTGGGTTTTTTCTTCTGATCATGTGGAATTAATTTGAATGACAGATTTGCAGTATTTTCCTACGCATGCTGGTGTGCAATGCGCAAACTGAGGTTCATACAAGACACATTTCAAACAAATTCAGAAATCATGTACGGTAATCTCGTTCAATTGAAGTTACGGTATACAATACTTCGGTTATTCACAGTGACATAATGAAAAAGGCTTAAAATCGCAGCTTTAAAGAAAATTCCGTTCAACGCCGCTCAGATTTTTGACAGCATATTTTTCGATCAATTTACTTCAGGTATTTTGCAGAACAGTATAGAAAATGGGCTTGAAAAAAAGACATCCCTGAGTATTATAAATAAACCTTCATCGCCACTCGGGATTTTTCGGAACATAAATTTCAGTCAATTAACTGAAGGTATTCAGTAAAATATAAAAATATGCTTCAAATCGCCGCTTTATAAATAATAAGTTTTTAAAACATATATGAATTTCGGTCAACTAACTTCAGGTGCTCAAAAAATGAAAATTGAAAATCCTTGCTTTGTAAAGAATCCGTTTAACGCCGCACGGATTTTTCTAAAACATACGTATTTCTGGTCCATTACATATATTGCTGTACCTTCATGTATTCTGTAGAATAATGAAAAATATGGTTTAAACCCCCCGCTTTATAGATAATCCGTTCAAGTACGCCATTCAAATATCTGGCTTCTTTTTTTTAGCAGTCCGTATATTTTTTGCTCAATTAAATTTAGAAATTGTATTCCCGAAATGAATAAAAATCGTTTAAAACCCCCTTTTTAACAATAAATAATACATTCAACGCCACTTTTCGGATTCTCCAAAAGTTTATTTATTCATTTGTTATTTTATTTTGTTCAGATGGGCTCTGCCGGTCATTAGCGGGGACTACCAGTCCATTTGGCGAGACGTGGACCAGGCCGACGAAGGCCTGTTGCGCGTGTTGTACAACAGCGTGCCTGACCGGGACTCCGTCACAGGCGTGAACGAGATGCTGACCCAATTCGCCGCCATGGGCGAGACCCTGCGCGAGGCGCACGCCCGGAACCAGGTCGCGTTCCCCGACAGTGGACTCGTCAGCAAGGACGAGCACCGACGCCTGTGCGAAAAGTACCGTCGGTTCGGGCCGCTGGAACGGGCCAATGCTCGCATCAGCAGGTGAAGAAGAGAAGAGAGAAAAAAATAGAGTAGAAATACAGCAGGGACCCCGAGATGCGGACGTAGTTGGTGCTTTTGGACCTTGACCCTATATGTCGGATCGTCCGCAAATTAAGTCGGATCTTGTTTATACCCAGAGACTTCGATACAAACACAAATTTAATTGGGTTTTCTCGTGGTTTATCAAAAATTAGGAAGAAATCCCCAAAAAATTAGATAAAAATATGGGTTCGCTCATCTTTAAGATACAGAAAGCAACTGTGCAGAAGGAAAACAAATAGAATCTGATCGTTTTGCATCAAAAGGAGCTCCAAAAGCAAAAAAAGAAAAAAAAAATATGTCATGCAATAATGTGCACAGATGATGGGAAAAAAACTTTGAAAAAAGACGCAAAAAGCCTGTCTGTCCTCGATCCTTAATTAGAATAAATTCAAAACGAAACGTATTTCCAATTTTTGTAAATATAAATAGCTCATTTGTTCAAAACATTCGAAATACCTTTTTTTAGATTTTTCGGAAAATGTTGAAAAGTGTCTATAGCCATTGTCCAGATGTCGGGTCAGATTTTTTTCGAGTTTCAAGTGTCCCTAAGTAGAATTGTCCGCATGTCGGGGCGTCCGCGTGGTGAAAAAAAAAAACTGTAGAACAAGTGTCACGTGTTCTGTATACTGTGCTGGTGGTACCTTGTACAACGAACCGAGGTCCATTCAACGAACTATTCTTTGAAACAAAAAAGCCTCACACTAATATGAATGTTTCATTTATTAAAACCATCAGGGAATTGGATTTTTCTGGCTTCCCCAGAAAAACATGCTGCCGACGGTTTATCCAAGCGTCGGGCATATTTTTGAATTTTCTAATTTCTGTTTGGCATGGGTTTTTTTCTGCAACTTTTCCTTACTGTTGAATTCCAGTTTTTCGTTTTCAAATTTGAGTGGATTAATATGCCTGGGGATTTACGCGTGGTTGATTCTTGAGATACTGCTGTGGCTGACTATGAAATATATCACATCTAACTGCATATGGACGTCGGAAAGAATAAAATATAATTAATTTTATTTACAAATTTTTCTACGATCGCTGAAAATTATCCTATCCTGAAATATTTTTGAATCAAACTCGTTCATTATTTTTTCTTGTTTTTAGTCTCTATCGTTGGGAACTTGTGAGACGGGCAAGTTATTTTGCGTTTCATTTATTTTTAAAATTGTAAATTCTATGCTGGATCTCATTTTTTTACGTAAAAAAAAGGCACGAAGAGATTTGCCAATTATTGCGGTGAAAGAGTCTCTTAGAAACGCGGACCCTCCATTTTCGAATTATCGTTATTTTTTGCAGGTACTACTGGTACTCCATGACACATTTCGGCCTGGCTGCTTGGGCTGACCCTTATCTCAAAAGCATAGGTCATGGCCTCGACCACAGAAACTGCGAAGAATGGGCTGAAGTCGACACTAGGGCAAACATGTCAATCAACGACGACTTCGCTGCTCCTGGAGCAGATTTCGAATCATCAAGAACTTCCGGTGACGACCATCAACAGGAAGCTACTCTTTCCGGCAGCAACGAAGCAGCTGACCATGAATTGTAAACTTCATCTCAAAAAGATTTTTTATTTGCATTTTCTTTGAAACTTCCGTCATTAAAACCGGCAGCTTTTCCCAGCAGTAAGCCAAAGCGTGAAAATCTGCCAATGAATCTTCAACAACAACAACAAAAACGCAGTGGGCTCTTTTATGCACTTATACGCAAATAATTCTCGAAGAAAAGCAGGCATTCTCTACTTGTATATATGCTTGACCAAGGAATGATTATACTATTTGTATTTGAAATAAATCCTTATACTGAGATTGAATTTGCTGAAACGTGACGCCGTGCGTCCCTCGAAACATTACTATGAAGTGTGACTCAGCATGTGAGAGATGCGAGGAAAATTTTGCGACGAAATATGACCGATTATCGATTTGTGGAAAAACGAAAAAAAGTGCTGAATTCATTGTCAAAAGCCACAATTGCGAGCAGCAATTTTATCATTAACTTTCTATCCGTCCACGTGAGAAACTTCCCACGTGTGTCCTATGCCGAACATTTATCGATATACAGTAATTCCTTTCAAAGTTAGCCAAAACTTTTCACGAAATAACAAGGAGAAAATTGTAGAGAAGCTGGATAAAACTTCAAAATTTATATTTAATCATTGACGAGCTTCCAAATTCCTTTCTCATTTAGCAAACGCACGAGACATCTTATTTGACAAACAACAAACACAGGGAATAATGAGGTTGGAGAAAGTTTGGCAGAAATGTGTCAAGTGTTTACGAAAACCGTATCAGTATTTTGTGTTAGTATAGTGAATGGCACAAAAGCCAGGCTCGTCCCAGACAGGAACTTCATTATCTTTCCGTCATTCGACTCGGCAACTGCTGTGTGAAAAATAACATAAACTACCATCAGTGCACTGTTCGAAACGTGGCTTTTTCTGCAATTCAAGGTTTCCTGACAAAGAATTTAGCAGGAATAATAAAGAATGATCGCGAAGCAATTTTTTGCAGTATTAAATATAGCCTCGCTTACGAATGCAGGACTATACACGTTAATACAGTATTATCATAATTTTATATTTTCTGGCGAATGTATATATGAGACTATTCCTGGGGGTGAAAATTTGTTGTTTCACTTTGATAAACAGCAATCAAATTTAATTCACGTTCATGATGGACATACGAAATAAAAATAGCACGTGTAATCAATTTTTTGATGTAACAAATTTTGAAAAAAAGAGGAAATGAAACTGTCGTCAAATTTAATGTTGCTGCGTCAGGCATAAAATCCTAAGAACTTTAATTTTCATAATATCGCAGTTTCTCGTCTCAGGATCAATCGTGGAAAATAGATTCGCAAAGAATTTTTTCACAGAAGATCAAAGCTGAAATTCATAAGGTTATTGCTAGGTTCTCCCCGCGGGGTACTTTGCTTTCCTCGTTTGAAAAAATATTCAGAAAAGACAATCAACAAACTTTTGAAGGTTTCTGCGAAGCCCTGTTTCCATTTGAATTCCATACACATCAATAAACCACGAAAATCCAATTCCGCCTTTATCCCCATCAGCTCTTTCCCATCGGTCACAGTATAAAGTGAAGCTACGTTTTATGCAACACAACACTTGAAAATATTCCCGCAGAGAAATTTTAACCAGTAGGAAAATGATTATCACTTGGTAAGAATTATTGAAGTCTCAAAACTTTGCCTTGAACAGGCATTTCAAGATTATAAAAAAACGCGGGTAAACCTTCAAGTAATCAATAATATAAGCGGAGAGCGAATATCGGTGCTAAATTTTTGGGCCCAAGAAGAAATATTCAAGAGGGAGAAAAAATAGCAGCATCTTCAAATCGTTATATAATGACACTGATCGCTCAGAAACAATCACTAATCATTCTAAATGTAGCACAAACACACGCAATCAACTAAGCTTTACGCTTACTAAGCTTTACAGCCAATTCTATATACAGGACACACAAATTTCACTCACCTTTTTCAATAAGTCACGTATTAAAACTGCGAAAACTATATGCACCGCAGTGTTTTATTTTTCAAGTAAGTTTTAATTAATTTTATTAAATGTTGGGAGGCCAAATTCCCCACCAAAAAGAAATAAGCCAACGCTGTTCTTCTATATCCTTGCCGAAAAGTATGGGTCCCAAATTCGCGACGGTCATCGTTTTGGCGATAATCGCCGTGACGGCGACAAGTGCGAGCGTTCTGGCATCGAAAAACCAGCAGCCGAGTGAAGAAGAACAGGCACTCACTTGGCTTTCCAGTCTGGACGAAGAATATTCGTTGCAGTGCAATGCGCAAATGGTTGCCCGATGGGACTACATCGTCAACGTCACGGATGAAACAGCTGCGATCAGCGTGAGTTCTGGCGTCGTTTCCTATATACTGCATAAATACAGAACATGATTTTCCTCGGGAATCCATCAGACTGAATAATAATTTTACTAATAATCGATATTCCGATTTCCTCTATCGACAAGAGAGGAAAAATCATATACAGTACATCGTTTTCTTCGGGGATCCATCGTCAGCCTCAAGAATAATTTCACTAATAATCGATATTCCAGTTTTCTGCATCGACAAGAAAGGAAAAAATTTGAAACTTTATGAATAACGGCATCTATACTCGTTGAAATGAATAGAAGAAACTTTGCGCATGTATACAGACGGCTTATCCTACTGATGCATACAAGGGTATTTTTTTCTCGGCCAAATTGGGACTTCTCAGATTATCACAGAACATACATCAGCAAAAATTAGTCTTAAACCCCGTTTGCATTTTATTTGAAAATTTCCGTCATCAATTCCGGCAGCTTTTTCATCATTAAGACAAAGCATGGTCATAGAATATTTCATTAATGTTTATTCTCCTAATTTATTTATTGATGATGTTCCGTTTAATTAAGCGGTTTTTTATGAAGATATGATACTGTAATTTTTGGGAAGAAAATCATCATGAAGAATATATAAGCTTCTTGCGTCATCAGATGGCGACATACGCATGTAAGCAACAGACAAGTCGCAATTCCAAACTTTCTTGCATAGCAACTCGAAAGAATAAGTTCATTCGAGACCAGCATAATGACATCACTGAAAACAAATTTCCAGCACTGTTTATTATACAGTATTAAAATTGTTCTTTGTTATTAACTAACTTGTACGTCCTTCTATTGTCTATTACTGTATACAGTATATGAGAATAAATAAGATCTCGATTAAGTCTATACAGTACTGGAGTTTTTAAAATTTCCACAGACCCAAGCAAATGAAGTTTACGCGACTTTCAAGAAAGACGCCTGGGAGCGAGTGACTGCAGCCTTTGATGCCAACGGGCAATTTCCCAATTGGGAATCCTACTCTGATTCAGTGTTGGTCAGGAAAATCAGGAAACTGAAAGACTCTGCCAAGGATTCCATCCTCACCGGAACCGACTTGACAAACGTGAAGCAAAATTAAATTCCGAATACGACTTCAGCGCAAAGTTTAATTTGACCTCGTATATAATACCCCATTGGGTTAATTAGTACTTGACCTTGCAAGCCGAAATGGAAACCATCTACGCAGCGGCCACCATCTGTAATTTGGACGGAACTGAATGCGGTCTTGCCCTGGAACCTCGTGAGTGCTGATAAGAGAACAAGTTATTTTATTCCCCGAAACAAACTATCACTCAACAAAGATGCGAATATTTATTTCTAGAATCACGTTATTTTCAGAAATATAGTCATTCTTTCTGTACTCAAAAAGTTTTGAAGTAAGTATTCGTCAAAATCGGATTCAGTTTTCAAGTTTTCAGCAACGGCAGGAAAGATCCCATAATTCTGCGTGCATGTTCCATAATTGATTAAATAAAGGAGAAGCTTTGAAAATCTACATTTTGAAAGTTGATAATAAGCAAAAATTTATTCACTCATTGTATATAGATGAACGTTTTCATCGCTTTGATGCGTAAGATTTTTTTCCGCGAAGTTAAAAATGGATCCCATAATAAACGCTTTTTCTTGAACATTGCTGTTTTAACCCTTGGACGTTGGAGGGTTCTTTCCCATTGCTGACCAAAATCAGTTTATTTTTGTATGCTGGGGCATTTCCAGTTTTCTGAAGATCAGAAAAGCCCTTCCAGGTTTGCTGTGGCAAAGTTGGGATTAATCCAAGAAAAGCCTGTTGCTTAACATAGTATTTTTTTTTATTTCCTGCGAAATTTTTCAGGGCAAAAAGAAAAAAACATCGGGATTTTTCCCAACTTTGTCCTCAGCTCCCTGTTGTCATTTTTTTCTTTTCTTCCCTGCGGTGGAACAAAATTTTGCAAAAATAGTCTGACTTTGCTGCCCAAGGGTTAAAATGGCATTTAAACTTTTTGACACTACTCCAGTAGTGTCAAAAATGGATGAAGAGTCTCTGCAAGCATTATGTTATTGGGCAGCACTGGTCTAGATCTGATCCAGTGCTGCCCAATAACAATGCCCGCAGAGAATCTTCGTCCATCCCACAGTACCTTCCCTATAATTTTCAAGGGCGCAGCACCCGCGAATATTCAAAATATATATTGAGATGAGATTAATTTGAAATTTTAAAATGCTGTTCATCCACCCCTTAAATATTTAACGTGGCTACGCTTGTAATTAAATGCGTAGAACTTAAATAAATTTGAAACTTTTAATTCAAAAGGGAAAATTCGGAAATTCCAAAATTATTCATTGTGGTCCTCAAGGTCCAAGGACTCTCCACCTTTGCAATATGTGGCCCTCGACCACAAAAAAATGCGTAAATGTGGCCCTTGTGCCACATCTGATTTGGGCAGTACTGACTTAATCAAACACGTACGCCAAAAATACAGTATCCATGACGTGAAATATCCTGAATGATATATGTAACAGCCAATTTCAAAACTGATTTCCGGGCATCGCTTTTCATCAGTTCGTGAAATATCGATGATGTACCCTTGTATCAACTTCTAAATCGGCTTCAATGCTCATCATTGAAGAGCGTTCATTTCATTAAGTCGTGACAAAATATCCTTCGAATTTGGCAGGTCGACCTCTTTTTATTGACAATAATGCATGCCATTACATACCCTTCTTTTTTAATGTTCAGATATCACGGAAATCATGGCAAATTCCAGAGATTACGACGAACTGACCCACGTATGGAAGGCATGGAGAGATGCATCCGGGAAGCTCATGCGCGAAAAATACGCTCAATTCTACCCATACATCAACAAAGCAGCTGAATTGAACGGCAAGATTAACGCAATTTACCCACCACATTATTTGAAATCAAAACGCGTTACAACACAATAAAAAAAATCAGTCTTGAATGGATGGTTTTTCCTTCAGGTTACCCGAGTGGAGACGCAATGTGGGTCTCGCCGTACGACGAACCGTATTTCCAGCAACAAATTGCAGCAGTTTGGGAGGAAATGAAACCTTGGTACAAGAAACTACACGCTTACGTCAGGAGACGATTGGTCGAACATTACGGGAGCGATAAGGTTGATCCGACTGGTCCCATCCCGGCTCAACTTCTTGGTAACCACTTCTTTCCTCTAGTACGACTTCTCAGAATTAGTCGAATTTATACAACAGAACTGGTTCTAATTGTGTTTTTCTCGAGGAAATCACTCGGCTTGAAAAAAAAAATGAACAGCTAACGAGATTTTCATTTCTGAATGCTGCAGACAAATTTCAGTCCGGGATGTTTGGAGAAAACAAAATTTTCTTCGCGTAAAAAATTCGGTAGCCACGAAAATATCGCAGGGTAAAAAAAAAAAAACCCGCCAAGTACGAAAAATCTGTTTTAAAAAATTAAAAAAAAAACAGTTTATACTCAGAGGAAATGCAGAGCTTGAAGCTCCAAATGAAGGCTACATATTTCTCTGGCTCTTGAGAAAGGTAATCCTGAACTTTCAAAACGGTTCAAAAGAAACCCCAAAGACACACTTTTACAATTTGGTAATTTCAAGATTTTTGTTCCCATGAGGGTTATCTTTCATTTGGATCCTCATTCATACTTGTTTAATAATTCAGAGTTTGTCTACACACACCATCTCCAACTTTAGTTATTAAAAGAAGCTTTTCTGATGCTTGAATAGTTGAATTGATCTTGCGGAATTTTCGTACCCCGCGAGATTTTCGGGCCGCGGGGATTTTTTTCATGGAGTCAAAAATAGTCATAAAAACCATTGTTTTGCGAATACCGTACAGCAAATACAAGTAAATTCCTAAAAATCTTCACCGCAAGTGAATTGAACAAATATATAATATGCACAGCGAAATATTTTCATGGAGTCAAAAATAGTCATAAAAACCATTGTTTTGCGAATACCGTACAGCAAATACAAGTAAATTCCTAAAAATCTTCACCGCAAGTGAATTGAACAAATATATAATATGCACAGCGAAATATAAATCGCCGTATTGTATAAATAAGACGATCACGTCACTGTTTCCACAGGAAACCCTTGGGCTCAGCAATGGGGTAACATTGCCGACCTGACTATCCCTTATCCTGACGCCTCCTCGGTTGATGTAACAGCTGCCCTAAATGAACAGGTGAAAAAAGATTCTCTGAAATATTTTTCTAACTTCCAAGTAATATTAAACGTGATAACAACAGGGTTACACAGTGGAACAAATTTTCCGCACGTCGGAGGAATTCTTCACGTCGCTGGGATTGGAACCCATGACTGACACCTTCTGGGAAAAATCTATGCTTGAGAAACCCGAAGGCAGAGAAGTTGTTTGCCACGCTTCGGCTGAAGATTTCTGCCTTGGCCCTGGCAGCGAAGACTTCAGGCAAGTTTCAAAAATTAAAAACTGCATGAAAAAATTTCAAAGAAAGAAAATTACGCGAGAATTACAATAATTTTATTTTACGCCATACAGGATCAAGATGTGTACTGTCTAGTTGGTTCTGCTAAAGTAGTGCCAAGTGGTGCTTTACCCTGTGTAAGTCATAAAGGTTGTTATGTCCTTGGTTGGAAAGTAGAAGTCTCTGCCTCGCTTAGGACCATTGGGTGAGGTAAAATAGGTCCTTCCATTCCAGGAATACAAACTTCGGATTACTTCGTGCGCAAAATCCAAAAGTGCTCCGTTAGCCGCTGTGTGACCGAAACAGTCACCGATGTGGTTTCGTGGACGTTTGATAGCCCAATAACTGTTTGATGGTTCTCTCAAACCTCCGTCTGTAGTTGATGAACAACACAATGGCTTTGGACAAGATCGCCTTCTTGCCGTTCGCATACGTGATGGACAGCTGGAGATGGTACGGTTTTAAGCCCTCAGAAATCAATCACAGAAAATTCGGCGTCCAACCTCTCGATCTTTCGAAAAAAATTGACACTTAGATATTTTGTTCGATCGGCTTTTGAAATTTAACTCTCGTCAAATGTGAGTCCGGATCATTCCTCGATGTCTCTCCGTCAGCATGCGTACGCTTGAGAAAATGTGCGCATCAAATCCAGTGAAGGATCCATATTCTCCAGATAGCTAATTGACCAGTTTTATATATAAAGTACATTGTTTTCTTCGACTACTAGCTGCATACTATAATTCCTAGAGTAGGTATGGCTAAAAATGATAATACTTCATGATGTTGCAGGGTTTTGGGATTTTATTCGGATTTGGAAAAAATTCAACTTACTGCTGCATGATAAGTGAAAGCTTCCCACTTACAACCAGAGTTCTCCACCCATGTCACAGGGTGCTATAGTAATTTATCAGGCCAACTGCAACTTGAAATTTCTCAGTTGCTTTAACCATTATCTGAAATGCGGGTAAGATAATGGCTAAAACAACAAAGTTTCCATTTTTCAACTGGCCTGAAAAAATTTAAGCACCGCGTGACATGGATGGAGAACTCCAGCGGTAAGTGGAAAGTTTTCACTCATCGAAGTCATCATGCAGTGAATCGGATTTTTTTAATCCGAAAAAATTTAAGAACCTTACAAAATAATCGGCTATATCATTTTTTTTTTACCGTCATACTGTAATTTAAAAAATAACCAAGGACGTGCCCAAGCGGGACAAACCTCGTATTCAGCTTTCAAGCATATTGCGAGCTGAAAACAATGAGATTCCCAAAACTTTGTGGAGAATTTAAATCCTAGTCATTCGCTGTAACGTTGTTCTTTAAAAAAATATTCCAAATTTCTCAAGTGCCCTGAAATGAAATTTAAAACGTGGCGGCATCATAAAATCAGCAACATAATTTTTAATAAAGGGAAAAGGACGATGTTCACGAGTTTTTCCCGTGATGGTTATTTTTTCACAGGGATCTTTTCGGAAACGTAACCCAGGCAGAAGTAATGAACGGACATTGGTGGAACTTGAGGGAAACCATTCAAGGGGTTTCACCTCCGGTTGAACGCACAGAAAACGATTTCGACCCAGGTGCAAAATACCACATCCCCGCAAACGTTCCATACGTCAGGTAAATTCAAAAACATGTACAGTACGATATCATCAATGCCATGGGTTCAACTAAACTANAAAAAAAAACAGTTTATACTCAGAGGAAATGCAGAGCTTGAAGCTCCAAATGAAGGCTACATATTTCTCTGGCTCTTGAGAAAGGTAATCCTGAACTTTCAAAACGGTTCAAAAGAAACCCCAAAGACACACTTTTACAATTTGGTAATTTCAAGATTTTTGTTCCCATGAGGGTTATCTTTCATTTGGATCCTCATTCATACTTGTTTAATAATTCAGAATTTGTCTACACACACCATCTCCAACTTTAGTTATTAAAAGAAGCTTTTCTGATGCTTGAATAGTTGAATTGATCTTGCGGAATTTTCGTACCCCGCGAGATTTTCGGGCCGCGGGGATTTTTTTCATGGAGTCAAAAATAGTCATAAAAACCATTGTTTTGCGAATACCGTACAGCAAATACAAGTAAATTCCTAAAAATCTTCACCGCAAGTGAATTGAACAAATATATAATATGCACAGCGAAATATGAATCGCCGTATTGTATAAATAAGACGATCACGTCACTGTTTCCACAGGAAACCCTTGGGCTCAGCAATGGGGTAACATTGCCGACCTGACTATCCCTTATCCTGACGCCTCCTCTGTTGATGTAACAGCTGCCCTCAATGAACAGGTGAAAAAAGATTCACTGAAATATTTTTCAAACTTCCAAGTAATATTGAACGTGATTACAACAGGGTTACACAGTGGAACAAATTTTCCGCACGTCGGAGGAATTCTTCACGTCGCTGGGATTAGAACCCATGACTGACACCTTCTGGGAAAAATCTATGCTTGAGAAACCCGAAGGCAGAGAAGTTGTTTGCCACGCTTCGGCTGAAGATTTCTGCCTTGGCCCTGGCAGCGAAGACTTCAGGTAAGTTTTAAAAATTAAATACTGCATGAAAAAAAAAATTCAAAGAAAGAAAATTACGCGAGAATTACAATAATTTTATTTTACACCATACAGGATCAAGATGTGTACTGCGATCAACCAAGACGATTTCATCACGGTTCACCACGAAATGGGACACATTCAGTATTTCCAACAATACAGGAACCAACCTTTCATCTTCAGAGACGGAGCGAATCCTGGTAACCCACTCCATTTTATCGTCCTTCCATTCCAGGAATACAAACTTCGGATTACTTCGTGCGCATTTAGGTTTTCACGAGGCAATCGGCGACACACTGGCTTTGTCAGTGGCTACACCAAAGCACCTGCAAACTATCGGGTTATTGACAAACTACCAAGAGAGTTTGGAGGCAGACATCAACTACTTGTTGGCAATGGCTTTGGACAAGATCGCCTTCTTGCCGTTCGCATACGTGATGGACAGCTGGAGATGGTACGGTTTTAAGCCCTCAGAAATCAATCACAGAAAATTCGGTGTCCAGCCTCTCGATCTTTCGAAACAAATTGACACTTAGATATTTTGTTCGATCGGCTTTTGAAATTTAACTCTCGTCAAATGTGAGTCCGGATCATTCCTCTATGTCTCTCCGTCAGCATGCATATGCTTGAGAAAATGTGCGCATGCAATCCAGTGAAGGATCCATATTCTCCAGATTGCTAGTTGACCAGTTTTATACATAAAGTACATTATTTCTTCGACTATTAGCTGCATACTATAATTTCTAGAGTACACATGGCTAAAAAATGATGATAGTTCATGGTGTTTTGGGATTTTGTTCGGATTTGGAAAAGATTCAACTTACTGCTGCATGATAAATGAAAGCTTCCCACTTACAACCTGAGTTCTCCACCCATGTCTCAGGGTGCTATAGAAATTTATCAGGCCAACTGCAACTTGAAATTTCTCAGTTGCTTTAACCATTATCTAAAATGCGGGTAAGATAATGGTTAAAACAACGAAGTTTTCATTTTTCAACTGGCCTGAAAAAATTTAAGCATCCTGTGACATAGATGGAGAACTCCGGCCGTAAGTGGAAATTTTTCACTCATCATGTACTAAATCGGATTCTTTTAATCCGAAAAAATTGAAGAACCTTACAAAATAATGGGCCATATGATATTTTTTTTTACCGTCATACTGTAATTTAAAAATAACCAAGGACGTGCCCAAGCGGGACAACCCTCGTATTCAGCTTTCAAGCATATTGCGAGCTGAAAACAATGAGATTCCCACAACTTTGCGGAGAATTGAAATTCAAGTCATTCGCTGTAACGTTGTTCTGAAAAAAATATTCCAAATTTCTCAAGTGCCCTGAAATGAAATTTAAAAAGTCGCGGCGTCATAAAATCAGCAAAATAATTTTTAATTAAGGTAAGAGGACGATGTTCTCGAGTTTTTCCCGTGATGGTTATTTTTTCACAGGGACCTTTTCGGAAACGCAACCCAGGCAGAAGTAATGAACGGACATTGGTGGAACTTGAGGGAAACCATTCAAGGGGTTTCACCTCCGGTTGAACGCACAGAAAACGATTTCGACCCAGGTGCAAAATACCACATCCCCGCAAACGTTCCATACGTCAGGTAAATTCAAAAACATGTACAGTACGATATCATCAATGCCATGGTTTCAACTAAACTAAATGTCGTGATTCACGTTTCAATTTCCAGATACTTCGTGAGCTTCATAATTCAATTCCAATTTTACGAGTCGTTGTGTCTCGCCGCTGGCGAATACGACCCGAATGATCCCGCCAAGCCTCTGTACAAATGCGATTTCTATCAAAACGCGGAAGCCGGACAACTGATGGAGTACGTCTCAATCAATTAACGAACTACGTTTCCGTCCTGAAATGATTTTCTCACATAGAAACGCCCTGAAACTCGGCTATTCGTTGCCGTGGACGGAGACCATGGAGGCCATTACTGGACAAAGAGAAATGTCCGCAGCATCTCTCCAGGCGTACTTCAAGCCTTTGGAAGAATTCATGGATAACTATTTGGCAGAGACTGGAGACTGCATCGGCTGGGGAGGTAAGATTCAAATTACTCGCGATATGACCAGACCCGGTTTAATAAATAAATGTGTCTCCTCAGATGAATGCCTCAAGACCAAGAACTAATTTGTTGCGGTGCAAAAAGTTTGCGACGACGTCAATTGAAAATCTGTTCCGCGGTTGAACAAGCTGCAGAATAAATGCTTCAACTGGCAAGACCTGATTTGATAACTTTGCTAATAAGGTCTGAAAACATTCCAAAATTACAAATACAGGTGGACTCTCACTACACCGATCTTGTCTACACAACGATTTTGTTGTTGTTGGTTGCATTAGGTTTTCTCCACATGCTATAAGGATTTTCTTCAACGAAATTCTCCTTACAACGAATTTTTTCGGTCCCTTGAATTTCGTTGTAGAGAGAGAGTCCACCGGCATAAGGGGTGTTTCAAACATTTCGTTCTTTGTCAGTTGCAAACTCTCCTTATTACCGTATATTGATTGAGATGAACACGATTTTTAATGAGTACTAATAATGAAGTGAAGATAGAGAAGCTTCCTATCAGTGTGAAGAGGTCGAAATTTATCAAAATGAAATAAAAAAAATCTTGATTTAATGGACAAAGGCTTGTTAGTGAGCCAATGATCCCGAAAATTATTTTTAAAATTTGACGCAGAAACTCAAACCTGAAGAAATTAATTTCAAGATACTAAGGTACTCTGGAACCAGACCCCTTATACATCGCGTCGAAAACAAAATAAGTAGTTTTAAAATCCAGATAAACTTAAAAAAAAAAAAAACACACACACACAAGACGCTCGACCACAGAAACAAGTGCCGATTTCAGAATAAATACAGAGAAACGTTTCAGAAGAAGTTCTTCGCTTTATCGACAACGGGCTTCCCATGGATCTCATACATTTCACCACCGGGCAAATACGGCGGCGTAAATTCACGATAAGCTAGACAAATTCTCCTCGCTGTAATGTCTTCTCTCAAAATCGAATGTTCAAAAGAGTACCTCGGATATCCGTACATAGCTAAAAGCGACCTTCTCGGCATCGGCACTCGGATAACAATGTCATCGTATTCCTCGCCGAGATCACGTGAGAAGTCTACGGCTCCGTCTGTATCCGCCAACAAACCACGGCAGATTTTCGGAGACCCGTCGCTTTGCTTTCTCACCACATTGGTGTACTCTTCATACGCCTCCAGAAGATTGTACTTCTGTCCCTCGTCTTTCCTTTCATACTTCGTCAACATCAGCATCTGAAGGCAAGAATTCTTTTTGTGAAATTTATACTCAAAAATATGAAAAAAACCACAGTTCAGCCGGCGTTCGAAGCATAATGAATTACAGTGAAATCTCGTCACAACGAATCGCGTCATAGCAAAGTTTTGCTTATTAATTATTTGAGTTTTCAGCCCCAGTACAATAGCCACAATATTATTTATACTTTTTTGACGATTTTTAACGCTTCTTCAAGGTCCCGAACGCTTCGTTGTAACGAGATTCTAAATTTGAAAATCAAAGAAATTTATGCAAAATGCATCCTATAGGAAGTTGGAGGCTGATAAAAATACAAGTGTTCGCCAACAGTTTTGCCAGTATAGCACTTCACTTCATCCAAGATAAAATCTAATTTTTATGAATCAACGTTCGTTCAATCCTTCCCATGACCCGTCGCTTTGCTTTCTCACCACATTGGTGTACTCTTCATACGCCTCCAGAAGATTGTACTTCTGTCCCTCGTCTTTCCTTTCATACTTCGTCAACATCAGCATCTGAAGGCAAGAATTCTTTTTGTGAAATTTATACTCAAAAATATGAAAAAACCACAGTTCAGCCGGCGTTCGAAGCATAATGAATTACAGTGAAATCTCGTTACAACGAATCGCGTCATAGCAAAGTATTGCTTATTAATTATTTGAGTTTTCAGCCCCAGTACAATAGCCACAATATTATTTATATATTTTTTAACGATTTTTAACGCTTCAAGGTCCCGAACGCTTTGTTGTAACGAGATTCTATATTTGAAAATCAAAGAAATTTATGCAAAATTGTAGGATATCCTTCAACCTCCGACTATTTTTATGTTCACAAGCGGTTGTCAAAACGGTCATATCGTGAAGTGAAGTAGGTTCTATTTTAGATTAAAAATACTTAGTTGCAAGCAAGTTAGGAAGGGTTCCTTGGCTCTAAACGTTTGTCTGTTCAAGTCGAAATGGAAAGAAAATTTAAAGCTCGCCAGATCTGGATTTGTACACAAATTTTACGTTTCCACGAGCATTCATTATCGGATGTCTTTTGTAATCAGTATTACAGAAAATTGCGCAGAACTGAATGCCCACGTACTTGTGATCTTGTTCAAAAATAAGTCGACAGCGGTATTGCTTAGGAATAAGTAGAATTTTTCATATTAATTTTAAATTAATATCATTGCGAAATGCGACGCGTATCTGACGATTAATATGTTGAAATATTAAAAACCGTTTCGCTATTAGCTCTGAATATGTCTGATTGATGTACATTGTTATCATGAGAAGTAAAGTCAAACCATAGAAAAATACAATTTTCGGCAATTGTTCTACAAAATTTAATCCTGGTCATGATGTGAATAATAGAGGTTTCAAAATACTGTAAATTGAAAATCAATGAACGGTGCATGCGTATGTCCCTAGCTTTTAACGCATTATGTAAAGATTGCCAATGGAAAAAATGCTTTGATCTCAACAATCATTCGATACTTGAATTATAACTGAAGATTGTCTGTACATGTTACCCGCCTGGGCTGCAGTAACAGATAATCCTTTAGGCTTAAATACTCTCACGCTAATAATCGGCTAGAAGAATAAAGACGGAAACGCTTGATTAAAGATGGAGCTTCGCGATACAGCCAAAAAAATTATGCTTTTTCCGCCTTAAAAAAAAAAAAAAAAAACCTGCAGTACCTCAGAATTCTGGCAAAACATTTTGACCTAACCCTTGTATTCTATCATCTCTCCAGTGCATACCGAAATCCTCACACACGAAAATTAATCACCGAATCACTCAAGAGATTGACAGAAACAATGCGCTCGCCCCAAATCCAGCAATCGTCGATGTGCGGATCTATCGAAGCTCCGCGGTCAGTCGTGTATTCCAAGGAACATTGCTCGATCGTTTCGTAGCCAGAAAGCAAAGGAACCGAGTTGAATTTTTCTTGCACAAATTCGCTGAATTTCGGGAAACCCTCGAACTCGCCCAGCTTTATTTTCCTCTTCTTGAAGTTGCACTTGGGGCCAAAATTCTAAGAATATAAACCCCAATCTTCATTACCCCTCATCGCTGAAGGACGCATTACAAATGTTTCTATTGATTACCTGCTTTCTTCTACCACTCTGAGACTGGTCCCAGGGCATTGCATCACATCCCTCAACCAAAAGCTTTTCTTCTTCTTCCGTCAAGAAGTCCAACTGAAGCAACGTTTCAGAATTAAGTACTGTACAGTACATGTGTTCACTGAACTCTGAGATGTACACGGCAAAAACTCACTTGAATGTATACCCCATCCAGTTTTAAGGAAGTGCCTTCATGATTTGGATGTCTTTCGAAAACATCGTAATTCCAACCAGGCCACGCCAAATTGCAATGAGGACAGTATACATAGCTGCGCTGCTTCAAATCCTTGAAAATTTAACGAAAAATACTCATGAAATTCGCCTGTAGGCGCATCCCTGCATTTTTTCGAACCTCAAACGTCGATTCACAACGCCGTGGAACACCTAGTTCTTTCTCACACAGCAAACATGTTCTCACACCCTTACATCCACAAAATCTGGTCATCGTCGAAGTACCTATAAACGAACCAAGATGTTAATCACGGTAAGATAGAAAAGCTATTTTCCGATCGAAAAGCTACCGGTTTGCGATGCATCACCAAAAATGTATAAATCCCCTTTTCAAAATCAGACGTGACGCATATTTTCAACTTCCATCAAAGTAGATCCCCACAAATTTGGAAATCACAGGGTAAAAATCGATCAATCAAACTAATTCAATTTGCCAGGATGATGAGAAACCGGTAGCCTGTCCCGATTATGACCGAATAAAAAGTTGCACTCAGCTTGACGCGGAGAGCTTCGTCAAATTAAAAAAAATTCATTCCAATGAACACTTCCCTCAGTCATCAAAATCCTCGATCAATTCGCAAAGATTCACTTTTTCAAGAACTTGAGCGTTTCCACCATCACCGATTTCCACTTTCCCGCCACCCTCAGTCCCGATTTCGAAGTACTCCTCCTCGACATTCGCATCAGCGGTTCCATCGGCCATGAGCAAGTCGGTGTCGCCTTTCAAAACTTTCTTGAAATCGGTCACTTTTGTTATCATCATGGCCTGGGCGGGGGTCAAACTCGCACAAATGTGTCGCAACATGGGTAGATGCACAGCGAATAACTCGTCACTACCAAGAAATACGCTCGCGGGACTGGGAACGAAAAATGTGTTTCGGGTTGCCTCGGAATTTCGTTCAGCCTCCTCTAGTATCCCTCGGTAACGGGGTTTACGCAATGGGAGGAACTTCGACGAAATTCCCTTGTTTTCGACGTCACGGAAGCGATTCAACATGAGGGAACGTGCGACAAGTGTGCAAGCAGAGGATGACATAGTTTCTTTGGCACGCCAGTCATCTTCCCTCAGGGCGTCCGCAGTTGCAAAGCTTGCAGCTACGGCTGAAATCTGTAACACCATGCTACGTTTAATCACAAGGTTACATAGCAAAAGAAAAAAATTCTAAAATAAGGCATCAAAAATCCCACAAAACCATGATTTCTGCAATTAATTGGTGCTTGGACTTTCTACCTATTTCGGGATTTCGTACTTCGGATCACATTTTCCCATAGACTTCAATGGGAACATATTCAATTGGCTTTCTGTGTATCAAAAATTAGGAATAAGTCCCTAAACATTGAATCGAATTTTCAAGGCGCAGGAAATAACTGTGCAGAAAAAATCACACAGAATCGATGCATCAGAAGGAGCTCAAGAAGCAAGGAACAAGAACAAGTTTTTCAGCACTGCGTACAGATCATGAAAACAAAAACTGTGAAAACAAGAAGTACAAAATTAACCTGATTTTGATAATGAATTGAGAGTAATTTGAAAATAAAATTTATTTTCAATTTTTGTGGATACAAATAGCTAAATTTCTTCAAGAGACATCAAAATTTAAAAAGAAAGCGGAACTTTTCATGGTTCCAGAAATTTTAGAAAATTGTCCATATTGAGACGTTGTTCAGTTGTGCAAATTCTATTTTTAGTCTTTAATATTCCAAAGTCGAATCGTCCGTAAGTCGGAATAGCACTTCGTTCTTCCGAGTAAAATGAAATTTTGAAAATCTGTACCTTAATCACAGCAGCAGTTGTTTCCAAAATTTGCGCAAGTAGCAGATTCATCTCGCAATTAAATTGAATATATGCAATAATGATGCTGGTATCATGGATACAAAATGTCGAAGCAATACTAACCTCCTTGATGTTCGAGAAAAATTCCAAGTAATTTTGATGCAAAAATAGCAACAATCCTTCCGGAGCCAGAACCGAGTTTTCCACCAAAACATCCGGATTCTCCAACAAGGGAAGTCGAGGCTCCCTACTCCTCCTGACCACATTCACAGCATTAATCCGCTCCTGATTAACCATTATCCGATCCGGCTCTTCCGCCCGCTTTGCGTACAGAATTTTGCCCAAAACTGAGAACAGGCCCAATTTTCCCGATTTGTCTCCGATTGCGAAATACGGATCGGAAGAATCCACAGAATGTTGTTTCATTCGCTTCAAAGCATTCAGCTTTTCCCGCGTTTCTTTCACACCGACCCGACCACCGCGTCGACGTGTCGTCGAAACCGGAACAGCCGATTCTGCACGACCTTCGATATCAACGGAGAAAAGCTTTGAACTGTCCCACCCTGATCCCGAAGAAACGCTGGAAAATTGGAGCGCATTTATGCATAGTCGCAGGTCACCGTGGCTCAGTTCCGCTATCGCCGCAATTGCCTCTGGAGAGGGCCTTATCAAAATAAGAACAATCGATTGAACGCCACAAATGAGAATAATGGGTGGGTGGAGAGGTTCTCAAAAGTTTTGCGAGATGACAAAAAATGCGAATGAACGAAAAACTACACCAAAAGGTCCACTATCGTCCATTTTCGGAAAAAAATTAACCCACTACAAGCAAATGGAGACCAGATCATGTCAGAAACGATTTCAGGAACCATGTTGACTCTAGAAAAAGCACCGATGATAATTTCAGACCACAAATTGAAAGAAAAGAACCTCAGCAGCAGTTTCAACTCTAGATCAGTAGTTCTCCCACTTCCTGAACGGACAAAATAAACCCGAAGTTATGGAAAAACTGAAGCATAGACCCGAACCCGCAGGAAAATCTTCATTGGAAATACAGGTGGACTCTCTCTACAATGAAATAAAAGGGACCAGAAAAAATCTATACATAGTACAGAAAATGTTGTAGGTGTAGGGAATCCCTATAACAAAAGGAGAGAACTCTATGGGACGGGGAAAGAATTTTCATATAGTACGCAGAAATATCGTTGTAGACATGATCCTTGTAGGAAGAGTAACTCTAAAACTAAATCACGAATAAATTCGTCGTTCACGTTAAAGTGGGAAAATTCCCTAAAATTTCCTTCGTTACAAAAATAAGTCCTGAAAGTATTCAGCCATTTTTTGTGCATTAATATGATGGTTCATTCGCGACTCGAAAAACTTTCGTGAACCCCTTCCTAAGATGAAAATAAAATTACCTGCTGATCCCACGAGTGTTTTCAAGACGATCGAAGATTTTGTTCATCGCATTTGCTAGAAAAGAAGTAGCCACAGGATTGAAGCTAATTTTGCGTATTCTAGCATGTCGCAAAGCTTCGTCGGAAAATAAGGCTCCGTATCGCCTCGAACCAGGGTCCACACTCACGATAAATATCACAGGATTATTAAAGTTGAAGGATGCCAAAACTTCGCCGAAATCATTGCCCTTCATGAGTAACGCATTGGGGAAATCATCCACAACAACCACACGACGCTCGTCGAGATCCATACCGCCGCACATGGAAGCCCCCTCGAGGAAATCGAAAAATTCCTCTTTTTGATTCCGGTCTTTCCGGAAAGTTCCCGGGACGAAGTCGGAGTCTTCGTTGAACGAAATCACGTCTTCGTCGCTGGTCCACGCGACTTTCGTCAAGCCCATTTCCCGGCATAATACATCAACCACCGCCGACTTTCCTGAGCCGGTCGGACCGATAAGAACGGCCACTTTGGGAACTCCATTCAACCCATTGCACGCATTGGTTAGCCATTCTCGAACTTCCGTGATTTTGGCACTGTGAACTGCAAGTTCCGAGACATTATCCGGCTTGAAAGCATCGATCCAAGGACAATCATTGTTTTGTAAATTGACGAGCTTCGACCTATTCCGTTGGTCATTTCCGCCGATACGACGCTTCACGCCTCGACCATTCGGCACTACGATTTTAGGCTTATCGGGACTTGGTGAACGCGGAAAGCAGAAAATTTCCTCCATCCCACTTGCGAACGCCGCAAATCAGGGACAAAAACTGAACAACACATTTAATACGGTTTAAGACCTGCAACGCAAAAATAAGTCGTTTAAATAATCCATCACCTTTGAATAAAAACACATTTTCACAACGAAGCTCGTAAAATACGAACTTCCACTCAGTAATCCAAAAAAATGAAACTACAAATTCACCGAAAGAAAAAAACTTATTTTCGCAATTCCGGGACTAGAATGAGGGAGAATTTGAAAGTAATAATGATTCCAACGCGGACAGATCAACGATTCTGTGCATATAAATCCGCAGTTTGCTGCTCGTATTGAGCTGCACTATTTAAAACAGCCACATTTGAAGACGCAAGGAGAGTTTGCTCCACATTCTTCAAAGCCCATTGATGCTGGGAGATCTCCAGGGCTTCCCATTCTGCCTTGAATGCTGCTTTGGGATCTTGCTGTCCCATGGCTGCTGCTGCTCCGGACATCTGCTCTTCCATCAGTCTCGCTTGATCAGCAGCTAAAAACATATCAACATAAAAAGATTTTCAGAAAAATCGGAGAACGGAGGTTTCATTTAAATACAGTAACTCAATAAAAAATCGAACAGGTCCCTAGCCGTTAAATGGGAATAAATCGAACAGCTCAAATCATTGAGAAAACGATCAACTGATCAAGCACAATAATATCCGAATTTCCATCATTTCCAAGGAGATTTTACAGAATCCGCCTCCAAACTTCAAATACTGTAGTGGACTGCATTGATTTCAAGCGCTAAATACCATATTTACTTGAATACCAGGCACCCTTGAGAAAGGCACGCACCCCAATTTTCCACCCTGAAAATTTTATGACATTCTATCCCCACTAGGACGCACGCAGCCCATTTTTGTAACAATAAAACTGCAATATTTCAAAAATAAGACCAGAATTCGAATTTGGACATGAATTCAACCTGAATTCAATATTGTTCAATAACTTTGATTTAAAAATGTCCTGTCAAAAATTTCCCATTACAGTAAATTCTATTATGAATCGCACATAAATTTCGAAAATTATGCAATAATTTATCCCCGCTGATAACCTGCACCCCCTTCTTTCCTCTGAATTCGGAGGAAAAAGGTGCGCGTGGCACTTGGGTAAATGAAGTATTCTTCGTTAAAATATAAGTGAAAAAAATTTGGAAAAAAAAATGCAACAAACCATGGTTTTCTCCTAGAACTAGAGCATAAATGCTTCTCAACCCGAACACATTCAGGAAATACCATGACGCAGAAGAAACCCAAGAGGCATCCAAGTACAGCAGTTCAATTCCTCTCTGCAGCATGGGTTTAAACCGCAACGTCAGCGGAAATGGAACCTTCGCTGTGAAAGAAAACCAGGGATTCGTCAACAACTGAATAAACTAAACAGTTATACTATTTTTCTCACTCGTAACGAAGCCAGAAAACGTCCAGTTGATCCATCCTCCAATTACCAACATGGGAAGAACATTAGTAACGTTTCCTTTCAGCATTTCTGTCATCATGTTCGGATCCATGGGGTTAGGTTGGGTTGGAGGCCTGTGTTTATGCTTGAAGTAGCCTATGATCAAAAAGTAGATGAGAATACCCATTTTCGGAGACATCGCAGAATAGGTACTCACCATTGCTTTCGTCGTTGAAAAAATGATGCCGCATGAGGTATGAATTTCTTGGAATGTATTTTCCATTTTCTCGGAGAACTCGAGCTCTAATGATAGCTTGACTGAACAATAAAAAAAGGTGAAGATAAATCGAATACAATATGTAGATAAAATAATTACCTGTCTTGAACTTGCTGCAGGTCGACTTTCTTCTGGCTTGACAGAAGAACCGCAATGTAATGCCGGATAATTCCAACCAAGAAAGTGATTATTACTATTGGTAAAAAGACCCACGTCCGAATGTGGCTATCCAGCAAAAGTTCAGCCATTGATGAGCAACCGTCGCAATTTGATTCTATCGATAAACCAACGGAAAGGGGTCGAATCAGTCTAAAATAAAAATCCCTCGCAACATTAAAAAATTGAAGGCGGCTGGCGATTTTTTGTTGAAATCACAATTGAATGTCAACTAAACCCTCGAATTCGGCATACGCAAATGGTACAACGGGACACAGTTGATAAAAATTGGCGATTCAAAATCCGGACATGAGCACTTGAATCACAAAATCAATTTCTGCTGCATCAAAACTTCAGTTCTGATTTTCGCGCGACGAAGTAATTCGGCAACTCCTCGACTGGCAAGTTTCGAAAACTTCAACGGAATTCGTATACTTGTGGACTTCGGTCGGCGACATGGGTCAATGTAAGCGACTGGAACCTGTAACAGACATAAAATAATTTTTACTCGAAGAGCGTAGAAACACAGACTTAGCAAATAAAAACGGGAAGTGTACAAACCATTCCGAGCTCCGGTGGAAATAATATCCCTCAATTGTGGCGGTCGACTTTTGAAAGCAAGTGTAATAAAAACCATGAAACGATGCCCCATTAATATCTCTGACGGTGTGGTCTGGTATGAGGAAATGCTCTTTCCATCGCATGAAAACGTAATCGGAAGTTTTCAGGCAATCGTAGTTAAACGCGTCTGTATTAAACGTCTTCGTGTACGGTAAGAACGATAGGAACTTGCTCTGTAATAAAACGAGAATCGGCAATTAATAAATAATATCTAAATTGAAGTGAAATGTTACCCAATGCTTTCTATCGACATCTTCATCGGCATCCCACTTCCGTGTTAGGAATGGATATTTTCTGCTGATAATCTCCCCATCAAAAAATGTCGTCAACACCGGATATTCCTCGGTCAGCCCCTTTATCCGAAGATATCCGCACAGGTACGAATTTTGCTCATCCACATGCTGCACGAAATGCCGAGACGCTGTCACAAGCTCAATATTCGCGTAGAAAATAACTAACTCACCTGGAGGATCACTTCAACTTCGTAACTATTTCCTTTCGATTTCTGATGACCCTGGAATCTCGAGCCATTATACAACAAAGATTTTATCACTCCCGGGGTACGCGAGCAACACGGAGCTGGCGGAAACAACTTAAAAGTTTTCTCAATTTTCTCACTGTTTCGCTCATCAGTCGCTCCTTCCAAGTACGCTTTCATCTTGAAACGTTCCTGCGCGATGAAGTAAAATAAACGGATTTTTCGTGAATAGTGTATCCTTGAAGAACAGCCGTCGATCGACAGATGAATAAAACTAGGAATGCGTTCACGATCTCGATCGAAAAAAAAAATTGGTCGCCTGAAACTTCCTGTTTCATGAATATCAGCTTGGCCGAGGCCGATCGGTCACTACTCAAACACTTGGAAATGACACACGACACTCAGAGCTGAACAAGATCACGGTCTCTCGACACCTTCAATCCAAAACGGAGTAAATGAACACCTGTTTAATCGTAAAAAATGGTCGACAAGAAGGCGGATTCAATTAAACGGCGACAGACGGCCAAGACTACTTATATCTTCGATCAAATGAACAGACGTTTGTAGTTCCAAGTCTTTAGGCACTGGAACGATTTCGAATATTTTATTGGGTCGGTGGTGGAACACCCATGCCCATGGGCATACTCATTCCTTGCATTGGAGACGCTCCAACAGCGGCTCCCGGACCAAGTAATACCTGCAATACGATAAAAAAAAATTGTTCAAATAATCAATAAATAGACAATGGCACTAAGAAGAATCGAATGCTGTTCTCGGAATCGAAAAGCCGTGGGAGATGTCTTAAATAAAGGAAAATGGATTTTTTAAATCGCAAACCACAAGGGGACGATTCTAACTCGCAGCGTTCTCGGAGGTTGGAATAGATTGCACAAGACGATAAAACCGATCTAGTAAACCAGGCTGAGTAGTTTATTCGTCAAGGGCCATTATTACAAGCATTCACCACGAGAATAAGCTAGGTACTGCACTGAAATACAAAATGCTAAACTCATACCTGTCTCTGATGTTGCCGCTGGCTTTCAACCACTTTCGCTCTTTCAATTTCAAAGACAACGGGAGCAAAGAGGATCAATGAGGAACTGATCACGACCCATACAGCACTCCGGCTGAACCCGTAAATATTCTTCACAGCCTTCGCAGACAATGCGGCGAGCTTCACGCTACCAGACCGGACGGATTCCGGGAACATTTCCGTTAATCCAAAAAGCCGCTCTGACAACGTTTCGTCCAAATCCTGATGATACAGAAGAATTGGTGACTCTCGAAGGAATACAGTACCTGAAATACACGACTCAGTTCAAAGAACTATCGAAGGCATTGAAGTAGTCTTGCAAAACCGAAACTAGTCGCTAGCTATTTTCGGCTTCGAAAGGTTTTCAGGGCTCTAAGCACATGAATGGAAATCTTCACCATAGACGAAGAAACCTGAACGTGAGTGCTATACTTACATCGTCGTCAAAATCGTCGGCTTCATGGGCCCATCTTGTACCCAAGAGAAGCTCGGGAGACGCAGATTTGCTATCTCCTCTGAGTGATCCCAAGCCACTGTCGATTTCTTCTATAGTCGCCATGTGTTCCAAGAGTTACAGAATGGTGAACTGACGCGATTGCTCTTCACGAACCTCTCGGTCGTTCATTCACTTCTCACGTATCTGAGAAATCGTTCAAAAATGAGCACCGCTATCCGACACAAGATAATTTCGCTATTGCGTACATCTGCTCAACAATACACGGACAGATCGTCTCACGGACACAACGAAGGAAACTCCTAGTCCCTTCTATACTTCCGCACCACTGAGACCAATTCATCACCCGCATCTTCCGGCAAACAGAGACCCGGCAATCTTTTAACGACACCTATCCGCAGTTACACGCATCAAATTGTAAATCTCGTAGTTCATGCACGTGCAAAAACTTGAATACTGTATTGTACTGCACTGAATTCTAAAAGTGCTGTAAAAGTGCACAGCACAGCAATGGCGTTATCTTACGTAATTTAAATACGTACGCATCTCTTTTCAGAGTACGATTAAAATAAATTTCAGATTCAATAAATGCTCTAAACAATTATTTTCAATTTTCGTGCCCATCCCCAACACCCTGATAATTTTCGGGTTAAGGATTTCTTCAATTGCTATACTTCTGCGTAAAATTGCTTCCCACGAATTTTTCCGTTAAAATTGAAAAAAACTGTCCAACTTTGATAATTATTCGCAATAGTTTCCATGGGAATCCGTCGAAAAAAAAAAACTGCGGAAGTTCATGCTGCATTCCGTGAGAAAATCCCCAGAAAAAGTTCTTTGGCCTCCTTCCCCTACTTTTGACCCAATGACATATTTTCCTTCCGTGATTTTGAGTATAATATTTGGTTCATTTCACAGCTGCTTGTCATAGTGAGCTGCACCTTTGCCAGTGTTTACATCCATCCGAGAGAAAAAACGGAAATACCAATATGAAAATATTGGTACAGTATTAAAATTTGGAAGAAATCCTTTTTATATTTGATTAAAAAATTAAATAAAATATATGATGTAGTTTTTTGGCTATGATAAATGATGATTTCATAGATCATACTGTATTACTCGGAAATTTTTCAAAAGCTTATTGGTTTACTGATTGTTATTTTTGCGTTTCTTGGTTTTAGCCCATTTTTTGAAATGGCGTCGGAATTTTCAAATTTGAGGCAGTTTGAATTAATCCTGATTTTCAGCACATTTGCTGCAATTTTATCAACAGTAAAATGTGCTTCATCCACTGACGTGAGTATTCAAATATTTTGTATTTTTACTATACCCTCTTTATTGCTCCCAAAGCCCATGAGTGGATTTTCTTGCTTATCAGTTGAAACTGCTGGAGAAGTATTTTTTTTTCGTAAAAATTGTGATTGTATGATTTTCTTGAAATTCCCAAATTGTGTGATATGCAGAGAAATATATCAATAAAAATTCCTGCCTAGTATTGGCACTTCCTATGTCTGGAAATAATTTTCAGTAAAACAGCATATTATACATTTTTCTTCGGTTTATTCAAATATATACAGTATATATATATATTGGCATGAAACTCAGCTGGTCTCTTATATGTCACAAATGTTGACAACTATATATTCAATTTCGGTGCGTGTCATTTGATACATGCAGACTCCCTTGAAATCATACAAAAAATAATTTGCAAAAGACAACTTCCTCATTTTTTTGCGTCATACACTACAAAAAAGTTTGTGGCAATAACAATATTTTCATCACTCGAGTGAAGTGCGGAGATTTTTGGCATTGTCTGTCGTATAAATTGAGTCTGGCTGAAAGTTTAACTTATAAGATTTCCACCATGTATGGAGCTGAGTTTAGTCTTACATTAAAGACATATAATTAAAGCTTAAAAGTAACGGAAATGTAAAAATTAAAAAAAAGCATGCCTTCTATATATACGCTCTTTTTAAAACAAAACATATGCATCTGCTGAAAGCCTTATCAAAAGAAGTATAAAAACTTCATCAAATTTGTACTTTAATACTCGTACAGTAAAAATTCAAGTTGTGTACAATTTGAAATTAAAATATTGATCTTTTTCTTTTCAATTGATCCAACGAACCAGCGGAAAGGAAAATAATACCATGTTCCTATAGTCAAATCTCTAAGCTGAACTCAGGCAGTTTTTTATAAAATTTAAAATGCAAAACCACTTCGTTGTCTACATGATTATATGCTGTTGAGCTGAGGAAAAGTTTGATTATGACAAAGATTATACAAAAAGGTGCATTTCCTCCTATTTCTTCTTTTAAAAAGGAAAAAACAAAGATGAAACACTCGAGAAACCTTCAATAAAACCTTTTTTTTTTACTTTTTAAAAGGGAAATGCTTCGATGACTTCGACGAGCAGCCGACAACTAGGAGCCATCGCGTTCAACGTTCAACGCAGTTCCCAATTCAAACAACTCGGGGCCTCCGTTACGTACGACCACGTTGTGTTACCACATCCATCAGTGGACTTGGACACGGGGGTTTTCACTGCGCCGGAACCCGGGGTTTATCTTTTGGGTGCCGAGTTCTGGTGCTGGCGAGGAGCGGAATGCCGAACCAGTTTGGTGCTGAACCAGATTGGGGTTCGCACTGGAAAGGCCATGGCTGGCAACAACCACCAGCAAGTGTCCATGTCAACAATTGTCAAAATGAACCAGGGAGACATCGTGTCTGTCATCCTCAATAGTGGCTGGATGTACAGTGACTCCAAGGACAAGTGGATTCAGTTTTACGGCAGTTTGTTGCACGCTCTTTAATTTATGATAATTTATTTTGTGGGTGGGGTGAGGTAATGCTTTCAATAAGTCCTGCGCCCAAAGCAGGTTTGTGTAAAATATCATCAAAGAGAATAACGAAACTCGGCAGCAAATTTTATTGTAACATCTGATTTATTGAAAAATAAAGTTTGCCTTCTGTCCAGCAGGTAAACAACAAAAGTCATGGGAAAAAAAATTTCCAGTTTAGGCTTAAAAAGTTTTACGGCGTAAAATTTTAACAAGACACTCTTTATTTATCTGTCGTACGTCACGTTACTTATTTTTTTTACCACAATGCAAATTATAAAAGTCCTTCCAATTCTGAATAAAAATGTTGGGTCCATGGCAGGGGAGAACTGTTGCCATATTTACATATTAAGTACCATACGCACCATTTTTTCCCAAATTACGAACGGAAAAAGACAGTGCACATAATAGTTGGACATATACAAATGTTCAAAATGTTATATAGAAGCCCATCTTGTTTTATTCTATGATGGAAAAATTTCGAAACATTTTCGCAAAGAATATTTAAAAATACAAAATTTTAACAGTTCATCGTGGAACTTTCCATGAACATGTTCTGTATTTGATTCTTTATTGACACAATGAAGTTTTTAAATTATTCAAAATTTGTTCATTTTATGGGATTTTGTCATTTACATACTTTTACAGCAGTAGAATATCTTTACAACGAATCTATTTGTATAACGAGTTAATTCTTACGTGAATTTGCTCTTTTGGTCCCTGTCCAATAGCCACAATGTTATCTTAATTTCGTTTTAGCGAATATTTTTGACAACAAGGCGTTTTTAAAGTCCCAAACGCTTCGTTGTTACGAGATTCTGCTGTATGTTCATAGGAGAAAAATGAATACCATCCCTTGAATTTCATCTTGATTGATTTTGGATAAATTGAGCATCCTTTTTTCTGATAACTTTTCAGTATAAGAATAAAACTCGCTTCAATGCACAGGAAATGAAAGAAACCGGTTGTATTTCTGCAGTTATCAATGAAACTACTCGTAAATTTCGGAAGAAATCTCTCATGGAACTTAACTTGTCTACATTTTAAGAGTAAATGAAGTCAAGAAAATCTCCGTCTGACACATAACGGCAGATGATCACTATTACATCGCGCAATAATGACTGAAAGTTCCCACTTTGCTATCAACAAGGTTTATTTCCGCCCGACGACTTTAGTTAGGTGCAAGTAGCAGAAGATTTAACACCCTGTGCTCAACTCCTTGTGGAAAGGTAGCCTAACGGGTAGCGAGTCTAACTATGTGACGCTATTGACTGACAATTTCCGGATGCAACCCACGTATTGATCGGTAGTCAAAAATCCCGGAAGTCCGACAGGATTCGGATGCCCTCCGACGTACAAGGGATCCTCTGTGTTGGTGACGAAAACTCCGGGTTTCCCGACCCCGGCTTGCCCAGAAACGCCATCTATCGCCAGTGTGGCGAGATTCAAGATCTTGACGACTGTGCAAAATAATTAGAAAAAATAATTAAGCTGTCTTCATTCCAGAAATTTTCGTTAAAAAATTAGGGAATATAATTTAAAAGAAATTCACCAAGGATATTGTGCCAATTGCCGTCACACAGGCTGACTGAGTCGTCGAGTTTCAGGGAACAGTTGAAGCTTCCAGCACCATTGTCAACTATGAAGTGAAGGGCTCCATCGATCAATTGTAGGACCATGTAATCCTTTCCACTCGACGGCACTTGCCGGTAGTTTTAAGGCAGTAAGCAGGATCCGAAATACAGGTAAACGTCGAAGTAAAAGAACGGCTGCTGCTTGAACCCGAGACTTTACGTCAAGTTTGTCTTCAATAAAACATGTAAATAGAACGAGATAATTTTTCGACAATCTTCTATTATACTGTAATTGATCTGAGCATCAGATCCTTCCAATCTATAATCTATTATATAATCTATAGATTCTATACAACGAAATAAACTTTCAAATCTTAACACAGTTTCGAAGGTGCATGTAGTTTGCTGCACGAACAAGCATGTTCTTGTATGTGATCTGCTGACAGTTTTGTTGTTGTTGTGGAATAAATTATTAATGCTTCGACAAAATTTGTGAGAGAATTAAAACTGAGCTTAATTTTGCCTTCGCAGGCGTAAATCTAAATCAGGACTTTATTTATATATGACTCATGCTTGTGTTTGTTGGGTTATAGGCTAAGGTATTCTCCTATGCAAAGTGAAAGCTTGAATTACGTTTTTTTTATCGTCAAAGAGAGTAACAATATTCAAAATACAATACTGTTCAGTACATTTGAATCCCTTTTCTTCGAACAGGATTCATTCTGAGAGCAGCATCTAGGAGAGGAGAAAACTGCTGTTGAGCTGCCGTGAACGGCCATCAAAATTCCGTCATTCGTCCTAGGCTTTATGTCCATTTGCAGCTTCATTTTCTTGCCGACGACGAACTTGGGCTCTGAAATGCAGTTCAAACAGAAGTTATTTTGTCGTAAATAGAACGAGATAATTTTTCGACAATCTTCTATTATACTGTAATTGATCTGAGCATCAGATCCTTCCAATCTATAATCTATTATATAATCTATAGATTCTATACAGCGAAATAAACTTTCAAATCTTAACACAGTTTCGAAGGTGCATGTAGTTTGCTGCACGAACAAGCATGTTCTTGTATGTGATCTGCTGACATTTTTTTGTTGCTGTGGAAATTATTAATGCTTCGACAAAATTTGTGAGAGAATTAAAACTGAGCTTAATTTTGCCTTCGCAGGCGTAAATCAGGACTTAATTTATCTATGACTCATGCTTGTGTTTGTTGGGTTATAGGTTAAGGTATTCTCCTATGACAAAGTGAAAGCTTGAAAATGCAAAAAAAATAGCAGTTTCTCTCATTGTTATAAGTTTTATGTTATGACAAGTCATGTAAACTTAGGGAAAAGAAGCTTGTCCTAAGTAAGACTCTCGTCGTAGATCCTCTCCTCTTTTGACGACAAAATGTTTTTTCTCTCATAGATGTCGCACGTCTATCATTGAAACATGAATCGGAATTCGGAAGTGGTACTCGTATACAGTACTGTACAATGCTTTACCCCATGAATTGAAAAAAATGAAGGCACGTGTTGTTTCATTCTTTTCTGAAATTTTTATGCATTTATCATACGTCAAATATATGACTGAAGGATTTTCTAAGATGACTGATGAATAAGATAGCAGCAGTACAGTACATGAATTCTACTCGTGATTATGTTCAGCGGTTGAACTTCAAGAACTCAGAAGTTCCGTATAAGTGGAATACCTCTCTATGACGAATTTGTTTCAAGTCTCCACTGTCATCTGACTTCCCTTAGAACCGATGCATTAAATAACGTTCATAACTCGACGGCTCTCCTCCTCAAACCTTCATATATAACACGAATTTTCCGGAAACCTTTTAGCTTTTACTTTAATTAAAAAATGAAAGAGAAAAGCAATTAAATTCAACTTGGTGTTCTGAAAGGAAGTCGTGAAAGACTATACTTTGGAAAATGAACCCTTGCCTCCAGTAATGTTAAACATCCTGTCAACTCATTTAAGAAGCAAGTTATAAGGGCTAATAAAATATCACCAATTAAAATTTTTCTGTAACTCCTCGTCTTTTCCCCAACACAAATGCTTATATTCCGAACTCGGACAACCTCTCTAACTCGGATTTTTTGTCAGTCCCTGGACATATAAAGAGGTTTGAATGAAGTATCAAAAATAAAAATAAGATACGAAGGCATGGAATTCACGAGATGTGGCTCAATTTCAATACTGTACATGCTTTAAACGCTGTACAAGCATTATTAGTATTGAAACGGTTCAAGACTATATACGTAACCTACTGCCTATATATAGATTTGCCGTAACCCGTAAGATAGATAAATTCAATGAAGTGTCAAGAGTACACGCGGTATTGGATTGCATATTTCGGGATATAACAGTACAGTATTTAAAAAAAAAATCAATTACTGACCAGCGATGACGTAACCGCCCTCTGGAGAAATGAAAACTCCAGTTTCAACCTTGTCTGAACACGGCAAAATGTCCACTTCTCGCACTGGATTCTGCATCGGAGAACCCTCAATTTCGAAATCCTTCAGGCATCCGGCGAATCCTTTCGCAACGTAATTCCCAACATCAAGAACACTCTGCAAAAAAAAGAAAAAAGAATAAAAAACATTTCTTGACGTCTTCATCAAGACTGATGTGTGCAATCAACGCCCTTCAAAACTCGTGGTCGTTGGGACTCATCCGGGGTATATATATATATATATATATGCACACAAATTTTAGCAGCAGAATTAAAAAAAAAAGAGTTGAATGATCATGTCTATCTCATCACCATCGCCTTTTTGGCCAAAGCAGCCACTTGTTCGGGCATTCCTCCGATGTAATACGGGGCTTCGACGTTGATTGACTCGGTGTGACCCACGCTTTGACCCTCGGCTCGGACTTCCCCGTCCACAATCAAAGTTCCGTTCTTGGCCTCTCTCAACAATTCGACGACGTGCCATTGCCCATCGTCCGTCCTCACGGGATCCTTGATGAGAGCTGGCCCAGTGCCACAATTGAAAACAAAGTGCAACTGAAAACAGAATTTAAAAAAAATTAAACTATAATTCACCTGCCTCAAATTTTGTTTTTAAATTCAAACCCATTTAAGGAAAACACGGAAGAGGATTCTACAATGCCTGAATTATTGTCTCGGAAAAACTGTACTTTGCGATAAAGATCTTGAAGCAGTGTTGCCAAGCTATATAATTTTGAGCGACATATGGGGAACTATTTTACATCAGCAGAGCAAATCTTTCACTTTCTTTCAATTAAACGTTTCATTAATTGATTTAACCTCCGTTGGTGATGCTGAGATATATGCAATTCTGGAAAAATGAAGAGGATTCTAGAATTTCTCGACAATTGTCTCGAGAACGTAACTGTATTATGAGGAAAACTATTTGAGAAGCATTCCTCTGGCACTTTTCATCAGAAAAACTCCTAGTATTTCATTGCATCACTTTCTCCTTATTACATCTCCGTAATTTGTTGAAAAATTCAAGCTACAGTACGTTGAAGATGAAAAGTGCAATGCCTATTATGAAAAATTGAGCTGCACATGGAAAGCACACGAAGTACTTTATTTTTATTCACCGCACGAATATAGCGTTCAATTGCAAAAATTATGCTTAAAACCCATCAAATTCCATCAAATTTACACAGGGTCATCAATTTCGGCTCGTCAAAAAATTAATAAGGCACGCAAAAAATAATTTGAATGCTTTTTTAAGGCATTTCGGACTTCGGGATATGGACAAAAAATAAATTTAAAATGTGTTCCAATCCCATAAATTGCATAGAGCGTTATTTTTTAAAATTATTTACTCAATATGCAGTCTAAGTCAAACGAAATTAAGATTATTCACAAAATAAAATATTAAGCATCATGAATATGCGAGAGGACTGCACGCTTAAAATGACATCAACTTAAAAAAAAAAAGAATTTATCAAATTTTTGACCCCTCGTATGTCTCCTATATATGAACACAAGAAAAAATCGTTGGTTTTTCTCTAAAAATTAGTACATGTTCAGCGCATCAACTCAGAAACGCATACAACTTTTCTTTCCATCATCAGGATTTTATATACCGTATATAAATATGTAAAACACTGCATTTCCTTCGTCAATTCTCACCGATCCATTCTTCAAGAACAGAGCGATCTTGTCTGTGTGGGATTTGTCGGACACGTAGAAGATGACGCCTTCCTGGGCATAGGTCTTGAAGGAAACTGAAAATCGGGTGTTTCTCTTGAGGTCGCCCACGGTTTGGAACTCCATGCGACTGTCCTTGGAGTTGCCAAATCGGAATCCGCTGTCGGAATTCACGTCCGGATCCGCAGCTGGTTGTTGTGGCAAGGCGCACTGTTTCGACAAATCCGGTGGTGGAAGACGAGGCCTCGACGAAGGAACAACCGGGATTTCTTCTGCGAATGAACACACATTAATGATATCATGAAGGCCTGAATATACGGGAAATTTCCCTGATTTTAACAGATTTTTTCCCCTCTCTTTTGGCAATTTTTTGTTGCACCCGCTACTTCCGGAAGAATTCCGAGACCGAATTATAAAGTTTAGCGCTGGAAATACAAAGGTCTGATACCCACCTATCTTCATCTTTTTTCCCACCAGTATTTCGAGCAAAAGATGGAAAGTTCAGGAGATCAAAAAATTAGAAAGAAATTTTTGAAAAATTTGAAGTCTTCCTTATACCGTACAAAAATTTTCCTCTTGAAAAAATGTACTGCTGTATGAGAAAATAAAATCAGCCACGAAGGCGTCACACATTTTCTCCGAAATTCATGCGTGAGTATATAATTAATGATTACTGAAAATTTCCTGAAATCTCTCACATGACAACCAAATTTCTCCCGAAAGATAAATCATATTCTCCAGTGATGTCCGCACATCATCAATTATCTGCGAATGACTGAAACTTGAGCAGCAGAAAATCCGAGTTCGCGGAAGGAAAAAATCTGTCCATGTTAGAATTCGATCGCAGAAAATTTCAATTTATTTTGGAAAAATTGAGAATTTTCAAAAATTAACGGATCCTCATCTTCTTGCGGCAATTTCTAGAACCCTTATTTTATACGGAATGAAAACAATTAGAATTTTTCAGATGATCCGTCTGTTTTAATGATCTTCGGAGATTTCTGAAAATCTTGGCAGATTTATTTAGTTGCTCATTTTCTAAAAAAAAAAGCGATGAAGCGCCTTTTCTTTCCTTGGCTTAAAACTTTAAAAAACGTTGCATTTAATAAATGTTTGTCTCGCAAGATTGGAAGGAAATTTTTACGAATATCGTTGGTTATTCGGCCGCACAACAAAATTACATCAATATGTTCCCCCGCGTTTCCTCTTTTTCTTTTAAGAGCGCGATTGAAAAGCATTTTCAACCAAGTTTAAAATTACAAATTCTAATATTCGGATTAAAATTCAGCTTACCAGTGGAATACTCGTAATCTTCCTCAGGAGTTTCAATAACTCTTCTGGGTGTTGAAGTCCTGCGAGTTTCAGGACGGCTGGTTGTCGTTGTTGTTGCTGCCGGTGTGACAGGTTTCGAAACGGAAACATTGAATCTTCGACCCTTACAACCGTGAACTTATGTATTCCTATTTTTATAAAAGCAGTAAGTACATTTAGTACACATTATATGCAGGTTTCTTTCAGCAGTTTAAGTTTAAACTGCCAGTTTATAGGCCGCCACTTCAAAGACGAAATTGGAGATGCAATAATAATTTTCTTAGCATTTTGATGGAACTTCAATGAATAAAGGTGGAAACATTATTCTCGATTCATGTACATCTAAAGAGAGTCGTCGAATTCAAATTTGATTATCAAATCCGGCGGTGAATAAAAATAAACCGGAGACACTTTAATTTCCTTGCCGTCCTTTGAATCCCCTGAGATTTTTCCTTGGTATACTTTTTGTGCGAACACCAGCAGTCATTTAAATTTTTACAATTTATACGAGATCATCAAGAAAAAACCACCGTTGATTGGTCGTAATCGAATTATCTTTCAAAAACTAGAAAACGTGGTGATTTTTATACTTTTTGTGCGAACACCAGCAGTCATTTAAATTTTTACAATTTATACGAGATCATCAAGAAAAAACCACCGTTGATTGGTCGTAATCGAATTATCTTTCAAAAACTAGAAAACGTGGTGATTTTAGTTTTTGAAAGATAGAAAACGTGGTGACCCAGAAACTCATTGACTCTATTTAAAGGATTTTACTCGGATTCTCGCGAAAAAACAAACTTTTGTTCTCTGTTGATGAAGGTATTCCCCCGAAAAATGTGGGTATTGATTGAAAACGAAATTTCACATGGAACGTGAAATCAAATAGAAAATCAGATTCGTCGTGATAGATACAAATAGTCTTTATTTATTTTATTTTTGATATGAAGGTATTCCCCCGAAAAATGTGGGTATTGATTGAAAACGAAATTTCACATGGAACGTGAAATCAAATAGAAAATCAGATTCGTCGTGATAGATACAAATAGTCTTTATTTATTTTATTTTTGAATATAAAGCCAATATAAGGTTATTATATTACCTGTTGGACCAACTTCGATTGGTTTGGAAGGCTCCAAAATCGGACATTTCTCCAGTCGCTCCCCGTAACTGTCGGAATTTTCTGCAAAGTTCATCAATTGTCCGTTGACAGTAGTGTCGGAAATGCAGCCAATGAAAGGCTGGTCAGCCACGGATGCTCCACTAGGAAGTACCACACTTTCCGGAAGTCCGCCAAAGTACATCTTCACGCCTGCTCCGTTATCCTTGCCCCGAGTGACGTCAAATTTGTCTGCATCACTATCTTCCGCCGTTTTGCTGAAAAAAAAATGAAAGACTCGCATTTTGACACAAAAATATAAATGTGATAAAATGCGGATCGAATCCAAGATAGGGTGCAGGGACCCACGAAAAATTCGACGATAACGAATAAGTTTTCCTATTAATGACACCAGCATTCTTATCGGAAAAAATTACAGAAAAATCGCATCAGAAGGTACAATTTGTGATCATCTGCTGAACGTTAAACTGCTTTCTTCATAGGGGATCTTTGGTCAATTTATTAACTCACTGCTTTTTGAAAAGTTACGTATTTGAAAAGCGAGTCGTCGAGGTTTGAAGGGAAAAGTCTCAGACTTGGGGAGGTTATTTACTGTAATACGTTGTGCTTAAGGGAATACAGACAGGAACTAAAGAAAAATCCGACATCGGCAGGTTTTTGGCGCAAAGAAATTTATACCATGATCCAACTATATATACGTATATATCTCCATAAAGTACAAGCATTTTGAAATTTTCAATTCGAATTCGGAACACTGCGAATCCTGACCGATATTTACAGTATTCGAGAGATTAATCTGATAACGAGAAAATAATTAAGGAAACAAACAGGCGTCTGATCAAAAAAATGTTCATGAAATTGAGGCGCTTATCTTATTCGAAGATTAAATTAATTTTTGTGAAAAATCCAACTGATACAAAAAAAAGATCAGAGGTGCCTCATGCTGCTCGTATTTGATGATGTCTTTTACAATATAGAATAAATACGGAATTTAACTATAATATATACAGTTTAAAAACTGAAGAAAAATACGGTACATAATTTTCAAAACATATACCGTAGACTGACAACCGCAAAAATCGTCTGTGGCCCGAATATAATCTCAGTTGAAATCAGAGCATCAATTATTCGAAATTCTGAATATTGGCAATAAAAATGCCCAAATCCGGTTAATTCGAGTTCTATATATATGCCGTATATATCGTAAATTCCAATTTGTAAGGAAAGCGTGCATAAACGGAAAAACTTTATATAAGGCTGATTAAGGAACTCCAAATAATATCAATAACATTTTGACATGGACATTCGTCGGTGCAGCAGTTGGACGTCCACGTTATTGGGCAGATCAGAAACAGTAGCTGTGACATAGTGCCAATTCTTGTCATTGAGGCTATGTTGACCCGCATCCGTTTGCACTTTGTCGTCCTGTGTCTCCATGACGAGTCTGCCGTCACGTAACGACAATGACGTAAATTCCGAGTTGTCGTCACTGGCAGAGTAGAACAAGAGTCCGTTTTGTCCGATTGTTTTGAACTTCATGGTCATTTGCATGTGGTTCGGTCTCGTATTGTCCAGCATTTTTAGGTAACCCGGAACACCGCCGTCGAACGAAACCATCCTGGCAGCCTGAAAGAAAAATACATTTTCTTTTCAATTTCTAAAATATGTTAGAAGAAGGGAAATCTAGATTCTGAGTAAGTAATCCTTCTAAGAACAACGAAAATCCTTCTACATTTCGAGGAATCTTGATTTTTATCAGCCATGAATATTCTCTGATGATGGAAAAATACTTTTTTAATGACTAATACATTCTACCGTAGATATTTCACGTTTTATTTTATTTTTGCTTTCAATTGGAATACTCCAGTATGGCATCAATTAAATTAACTGTATTTAGATTTTTTAATCAACAAAATTAGGAAGTATAGATCCGTTAGCAAAGCTTTTATTTCACTCTTTCAAATAACAATTCAAATTCACGTTTTATAGCTTAAATTATGAATTCGTTCTGCTATACTCAGTTTTTTCGATGATTATGAAATCTGATTGTTATAAAGGTAGACTCTACTACAAGAATTTTCAAAGTAAAGTACGGCATAACAAATTATTGTTGGTCCAGCAAATCTTTACAAATAAACTCTCGATGAGAAATTTTTCTGGTTCCTTTAATGTTTCGTCGAGAGAGTCCACTTGTATTTCATGCTTTCCCTTCAGCTTGCATGCGAAGAATTAACATTCATTAACTTTTAAAGATCAGTATTTAGAGAAAAAAATGGTAAAGGCTAATTGAACTAAATATTCCCAAGTTTTCCTTAAACTTTCATTGATTGATTTTATCGCTTTCAATTGACAAGATTTATCAACGATCAGCTGCTCCAATTTTTCCTTTTAATACTCTCTCTATGCTTCATTGAGAATACAATTTTTCACAAACCTTCTCGGGACATCCAGGGGTTGTGCCAACAGCAACTACATTTTGCGATAAATCAATGCCACCATCACCGATAAAAACATTGTCGAGGCATCCATTGAATCCGGTTTGAGACACGTCAGGGAATTCATGAAGACCTTGATGACCCCCGAAGAAAAGATGACTTGGCAGAGGAAACTTGACCATTTGTCTGCTCGAGCCTCCATTGCTATTCGGAACTGGTAAGCCATCAATCTTAAAATAAAATAAAAATTGGGGGAGAAAATTTGAACAGCTGTATACTGTATATGGCTACGGAATTTCCGTCACAGATAGCTAATTTTTTATTATTGGAAAACACGCTGACATTGTGATCGATTAAAAAGGTTTCATGATGAGATGGAATAGTTCGTGAATTACAGAAGTATCATGCTGTCGAGAAATGAAATGTTTTCTTTATAAATCTTGCGTTTATTTAAGAGAAAATAATAATGATACGAACCGTCAACAAACCATCGCCTTCTTGCCGAACAGCCTCCAAAGTGTGCCATTGACCGTCATTGTATTGATTCTCGGAAATTATTTGCACAGGAACGCTGCCCAAATTGTACTGCGCAGGAATTTAGAAAAAAATGTATTCGAGAGTTGGAAAAAGTCAGTCATTTTTGATTGATTCCAGAAAATTAACCTGGTAAATGATTCTTCCGTCTCGCATTTCGATGGACATGAATTTCTTCTTCTTTCCTGCCAAGAAAATCAGTCCATCGGGACTCTGAGTCTTAAAGTCCAGTCGGATGTTGAACTTGTTCACGTATCTCGACCGACCTGCTAACTGAAAGCGCATTGGAAGAGGCAGTTTAGCGTCAGGTCACCCAACAGAGTTAAAACAGTTGAACAGGGACTTACGTTTACTTATGTAAAAGTGGAGATTACGCGTACATAAATCCATAATATAAGAAAGGTTAGATGCCGTTGTTAGCGCCAAATTTATATCATTTCTGCTTTGGAAATCAGAACCGTTCTTCCCCGAGAATCAAGGAAGATAAAGTTTAACTCGATTTAGTTTTTCTTTTGAGAATCATACGGATCTGCAATAAATTTCCTTCGTGCTCAAAGTTTCAGCTTTGTTTCTGTTTAAATTTGAACACTTTGTAGATAAAGAAATATTAAAAATCGTATGCTTCTGAACTGCAAATAAAATTTAGAATTAGTTCAGTTGAATATATGATCATTTTTATCAAACAAAATGTAGCATATCATGGATAGGAGCAACTAACTCGGGAAGTGGACTTTTCGATATCCTTTAAAGTTTTATGACATTAAAAAAGGTCTTACGTCGTATTTAAAGACTTATAAACAGTTTAAAGAAAATTTTACTCTGGGTGAAAAGAGAGAAATTTACACTCGAGAATATCAGGGCGATTTCTCAGATTCGAGAAAATGTAGTAATTATTCCCTTTAACTGTTAATTGATGACATGACGAAAAGTTTCAGCTGAACATTAATATGTTTTGTAAAAACGACGATGGAACAAAAAGGTGCAAAGTAAGTATCGAATACCACTTTAGTATTGTTCATTACGCTCAGAGGGAATTTCCTTCTTATTGTCTTCATTATGAATTACTGCTCTTGAAATAAATAATATATCTTTGACGATTTTTTTAGAGCACCTTTCAACAGCTCCGTCAGTCAAAGCAGTCGCTTCTTTGAAATTCCACAAACCGATCGGGATGTCGTTCAAAGTCACGTCTTCGATTTCGCCTCCGTCAAATGATCCGTAAAGTACAGCCGATTGAATCTGATTAAATTATCAATCAATAATTTTAAATGCAATTTTTTTTAGATGCCGTCGATTAAATACAAACTTTGGCATCGGGAGGAAATCCTCCAACGTAAACGACTGTGTTTTGTTGGTCCCAGTTGAAAACCGCTCGAGTTCCTCGGGCCACTGTCGACATTTCCGAAACTGACTCAGTTCCTCCATCAGTTTCATCGATAACTTTGAGTGTCAGAGTTTTCCCGATCCTGGGTCAATGCAAATAAAATTACCTATCGTATTGGAACAGTTTTATACAAATTTTCATTTTGACGAATGAAAGAACCTTTCGGCGATTATTCGATGCCATTGTCCATCGGCCAAGTCTTTTTCGCTGAACAAGAAGTTCGGCCCTGAACCGAAGTCTACCATCAAAACTGCTCTTCCATCTCGAAGTTCCAATGCCATGAAGTCGTCCTGAAGATTAAATGAGTCATTATATCCGAAATTTCCAGCATAATAAAGATTCATTTTTGTTTACACGCACAAAAAATATTTCCACATTTTCCTTGATGATTTCTGTGGTTCTAATACTCGAATACATGAACAATATTGATGCTTTAAAAACTGGAATTTTTGTGGAGATACATATTTTATCTGGAATTTTCAGTTTAATTTTCTACGATATTTCTCATCTTGCGGATTGCTTATAAATCTGCTATTCATAAAATTGAATAGAATACACGTCGCTGATTATCGAACTACGATTTCAACATTGCTCAAAAACAACAAATCGCATCATACAAAATTTTCGGTCTCTAAAAGCGAATTGAAACTGCTTGTGAAAATAGACAGTTATTGCTTAACAAGGATTCCATTTCGATATGTATGCACTGAAAAAGTGTTGAAAAATTGCATTTTTGTGCATTCAAGTCATATCCTTTATTCGTTTATTTTCAATGAAGTTCCTACACGAACCAATACAAAATTCGTTGATTTTGTAGGAAATTAATATTCATACATTTTCCACTGCATGAGTATTGAGCCCATTATGGAAGGATAAATGTGAATTTAAATTTCCATTTTGATTGCGAGTGACATCTATAAACACTTCACAGAAACTCACCTTCGTCATTGTAACGGAAAGTACTGTACAGTACAAGAAAATTCTTTTATACTAATTCGAAATGTCTTATGGCATATTTTGAGCAGAAAAAAATAATGTAGCTTAAATTCTGAATAAGTGAAACAATTTCAAAAAAAATTACCGCATTTTTAAGTTGGCGTTGAGATTCACTCGGGTTCCCCACGTATGCCAAAAACCCATTTTTCGCAGATTCAGTTGCGTTCACATAAAGCGACAGTTTCGTGCTTGTTGCAGATTCGTGCACATTCTCCGGAGTGCGCAATTGAATCGTCGTGTTGGCCTGGAACGACACTCCGACTCGAACACTGTTTGCCAATCGTCGTGCCAACTTGATATTGTCTCGCAGCTCGGATATTTTTTGCGACAAGTCCTCGCCATACAGCCGCAGAGTTGCCTGACGCTTTGTCAAATCAACCACGTTTTCTTTCAGTTTCGGTGCCAGTTGCGAAACGTGATTCACTGAATTTTAGGGAATACGATAAGGAAAATTAATCACAGATGACTCGGGGTTTGCAGCAGCAACAAGAAAAAGGGATAAATTCGCAGCGGTGCAGAAAAAAATATTGGAATCAGATTAAATAAGAGGGAGAGTTTAGCAAAAGTTTAAAAATATAAATTTATAAATTGGCAGCGGAAACTTACGTCGGTTGTTGATCAGCTCTTTGACCTTGCCGCCATCGCCGAAATCAAGCAGCGCAGTTTTCACTCTTTCGCGTCTTTCAGGGATTTCTGCGTAAATGCCTTCAATCCTGTCGAGGGCATCTTTTGCAGCCACGTCAGCTGCTTCTGCTTCGGCAACTGCCTCAGGACGAGACGCAACTTTCGATTTCTTCAAGTTGCCGTCCGCGTCAAAATATCTAAAAGAAAATTTTTTTTTTACATTCAGGAAAATAAAATTTGATTTAATTTTTTTTATTTTGAAGGCGGGGGTTTTCTTGCCTCAAAATATCGTCCAGCTCTTTGCCAATGTCACTGACGACGCCGTCGACTTGAGCAACGACGCGAGCAGAATTCGATTTCGTTTCCGCGAGCAAATTTAGAGCTCGAGTCGTGTTGTCTTGCACAAAAACGAGTTCGTCTTGCGCATTTCTCTTGGCCTCCGTTGCTCTCTGATCGACTCCTTCGCTCTAAATTTTTTCGACAAAATGTATAAAAAAATTTTAAATAAAGAAAGGATCCCAGTGAGAGGCAGAGAGAGAGAGAAAATGACCTTTTCTTTGGCAGTTTTCGCAGCATCGATCGCATCAGCAGAAGCCTTTTCCGCGGTTTCGATGCTTTCAACGATATCCTTGTAAGCAGTCGCTGCTCTAAGTGCATCCAAGGACGTGTCTTGGGACGAAGCAAAAGCGGAATTGAGTCTGCTTACCTGTTTAAAAAAAGCGAAATCAAGCACAACAATTTCCAAATTTCTGGAAAAGTGTGAAGATTGTCTGATGGTTCCCGCGATAAGTCCGTGAAAATAATGAAAACATCAGTTTTAGCTCACGTTACTGATTCAAGTCTTCAAAATTTTCCTGACACGTTTCCGCGATTTCGTTTCCCTTATTGGAAGTGACAGTCAAATTTTGTTTGGCCCTCGTGCGCACCAAGACCACAGACAATTATATGAAAATTTAAAATGCGACATTATTCAAGGATGAAAGATGGAAAACGAAACAAATAAGACATTAGTGCAAAAAATGGATGACTCTCAGTTTTCGAAATTTCATAATGTCTATCTCAGCAAACCATTAGATGTTTTCTATGGATCTCATGAATAAAAAAAAGAGGAACCTTCTGTTCAATGTGAGCATCACAATTTGCTCAAAAACCAGCTTGACTACCCAAATTTTTTCTTTCGCAGGAACAAAACAATTTACGTTCCCATCACGTACGCCTCTTTTGTGAAATAATTTTCGTTTTAAATTTACCTCAGCATTCAAAGTAATAGTGCGAAGTTTTGCCCCGACGATGACGTCAGCATTGGGCAGTTTTTCAAGAAGTTCCATCTTTTCTTTCAAGTCCAGCTCCACGTCGTTCAAATTCTGCTCTTCTTTTGCTGTGAACAGACCCAAAAAAATTCGTGATGCATTCCTCGTGAGAAAAATTTTTTTTTCAAAGAGTTTTGAAGGTTGACATAGTCTTAATGTGCATTAAAAAAAAAAAACTTACGCATATCGTCAAAAAATGTTTCGGCATCCTCGAAAGCTGACTGAGCACTTGTCAAGTTGCTTTTCGCCCTTTCCACCGTTTCCTTGTTGGCCAACATCAAAGCACTGACATCGAACCGACTCTGAGACATTCCACTGCAAATTCAAATACATTTTAAAATTTCAGATCATCAAATATAGTTATGTAAGCAGGTGAATCCCCAATGTTACATTAATTTACTGCAGTGTTCCCCAATCCGTAGCCTTTCTGCAGCATAATAAATTGACAAGAGTAGCAATGAAGTCTGTTAAGTTTATCTGAAATGCCAGAAAGACAATATGACAGTTGAAATTATCTAATGGAAAAATTACAGTTGGCTTTTTCTTTATAATTCAGTACTTCAGAAAAATTTTCACCTGCTGAAATATATTATTTGAATTTTTTTTCTTCTGAAAAACCTTTCTTATTCAAGGCCACCTTTCTAATTTTTGAAGACATTCCACTGTATAGCTGTGTCATTAGTTCTTGATTTTGACCACAAAAAAACGGAAACTTTTTAAATGCCCGCAATAAAGTCTTTTCAGCAAAATTTCACGAGTCTGCAAAAAATGAAAGAAAATTTCGCGTTCCACCGAAAATTTTCGTGAAGTTTGCCGGTCTGCAAAAAACAATTTATATGAATTACTTGCTTCGGACCCAAAAAAAGGTTGGGAAACACCGATTAACTGCACATGGGGAACAATTATTCGAATCAAGCTCACCTGACGCGGTTTAAAATATCGTTGGCTTCTCGGGTTTGCCTAATGGCTTCGTTGCTGTGATTGTTCAAATCTTGCAATTTGCTTTCCAACTTTTTCGCATGTCCTGCCAGGGCTTCGTGTCGAGCTGCTTGTTCCGCAAAAGGGGCCTGATAAAGCTCCATTTCCTCTTGTAATTGAGTAGCATTCGCCTTTTCATTCTTGAGGCGCTCATCAAGGAAAGTCATGTTCGTAGAATAAAGCCGTTTCAGAACTTCTTCACCGAGTTCAACAGCTTGGTCGACAGCAGGGCCTGATGAAAAGCAAAGAAAAAACTGTTTGTTTTGTTTGCATCATGCACGAAACAGGATTAAAACTTTTTTTCATGGATGATATTACATTTTAAATTTGTTTGACCAGCGAAAACTGTGGAAGAATTCTCGAGTTGCAATTTCTCGCGCACAAAAATATGACACGCTTTTTACGAAACCCTCAAAAAATTATTCGTGAATTTTTGAAGTCTTATTCTTTTGATCGTCAACGGAAACATACCAATGCAACCGAACCCATGAAATCTGACTCAATTCAATAGATCATCTTTTAAGCTTCAGCGCGAAATATTCCAGCATTTAATGTCAAAACATTCCACAAATTTCACAGCTAAAAAATCTGAAAAGCTTCGATCCAATTTTTAAGCGAAAAAAATATGTTTTTATGGTCTCCTTCGAAGTTTAAAAGGTGGATAAATTACGGTATGTTTACTACACATTTTCTCTCCTCATTCGACCGTAAAGCTATTTCGGAAAGTTTTTACAAAAGTACTGTAAACATCACAGTACTTTTTGGCTGCCATGAAAATTGCAGCCGAATTTCCAATTGAGGAAGAGGAAAGGAAAAAAGTGGCCTCAAATCTCGTGAAACAGCTACATATCTGACACAAAATGTCATCATTTTGGCCCCCATGCAGGTCTTCTGAATGCTTGACTAGATAGATTTCTGAGTCGTTCGCGATTAAATAAATATGGGAAATGTATAGAAATATAGCTTGAAAATCGACGAAATCAATTCCTTACCAGGACCAGTTGCTTGATCATCAGCAACTTTGCTCACATGATTGACAACTTCAAAGACTCGATAAGCTGCTTTATCGGCTTCGTTTTTCGCCGAAGCAGCTCCATCATCCACTTCTTTCAGATACAGGTCCTCAGCTTTCGCCAAGCTGTCCAAAACCTTTCCCAAGAAATAAAATTGTGATAAAGTTTTAAATATTTTAATCATTGATTCCTTTGTTCGCGCGATTTATTTTTCTTCGTGTAAGTATGAACAAAGCTTGAACTCACAGCAGCGTTTTGGTCAGAAAAGTCGGCTTCCACGTCCGAGATCATTTTGTTCCATGGTGACATGTCAAACTGACTCGCGTCGAATTCCGAAAGGGCACTTTGGAAAACCTTGCCTCGCAAATCCAAATTTCTGAGTCTCGTCATCGTGAAATATCCTTTTGAAACTTCCTGTTGAAAAAAGTATAATAATGCGGCGCTCATTGCTTATTTCTGCCCATCTCCCAGAGAGCATGAGATTTATGCACAATATCATAAATTGCAGTTACGATTATCGTTACTAATGACCGTGAGTCTCATTAGCAAATTTCTGCATTATTACATGGTCTGAAATTACATTAAAGTATTTTTGAAAATCATTCATCAGCCGTGTTTTTGGATTTGGTCCAGTACACTAGTCTATACGTCTCAAGTACACTCTTCAACAATGAATTAGTCGTGCGACATCTACCTCAACTTCAAAAAATTGCGACTGCGCGTTGAAGTAAAAGTAAGTTGAGATGTCATATGCACAGAAATGGAGAAAATTTATTCTTAAAATCGAGAAAAATGTTTCTGAAGTGACTGTACCACGAAATCATCCATGACGGGGTTCAGTCGGGTAGTCAACGCGTCAGTTTCGTCCAACAATCCATCCAAACAAGAATCGCAGGGTTCGCAACCCTGGTTCTTTATCAGCACCCATCGATGCGGGCACCTGTCGCAATTCTGTCCAACGACGCCTCGCAAGCATTCGCACTGACCAGTGTTCGGATTGCAGCCACCACCGAACGCAAATTCAGGGTTGCACAAACAACCTAAAATATACAGATATTTCATGTAGGGTATCGTGTTCTAATGAAAAAATAAAATAAAATGAAAATGCTGTCTAAGCATCGCAAAAATAAAAGGATGTCGGTGAATGTAGGTTTCCTATTTTGTGAAATTATTCAGCTGAAAAAGTTAAGAATAAAATTGGATTGCCCCAGACGGCGAAAATTTCTTGACGAGGAGCTTGAAAGGGAAACAAAAGATTCCGTGAATAATAATGAATCGAAAACAGATTGAAAAATTATTCAATAAAGAACCTCAACAAAACTTTTGGATCTTCAAAACAGTTTTTTCCTTTAAAAAATCTTTTGAACAAAGTAATCGAATGTTTGCATTATTGAACATTATTACATCATTTTCTCACGCATCAAAATAGAAACAAAAAACACATTCCTTGGCTTCGAAATTAAATATGAACTTTTCAGTCATTGAAAGTACTGTACTGTGCTAAAATATATCGTACTTTAAAACTGAAGCAACATAATTTGCATGAAAATATGATTTAAAATTACGTTTGACGAGGTGAATCCATATGCAAGAAAAATCCTCCATTCATACTTTTATGGCTGCGATATCTTGAAGAGAACATTAGCGTAACTTACGTTCACATCCAGTTTCCGAGTAATTCCAGAATCCGGGTTCACATCTATCGCATTCACGACCAGTGACACCGTGTTTGCATTTACATTGACCCGTGCTTGGGTCACACTGGGTACTTTCCGACGCTATGCCGCAATCGCAAGCTGTACAACCCTATTTCGAGTTAAACAGTCGTTTTGTTATCATTTTTTTAAAAACCAAACATTCATTTTCTTTTCGATTATGTCGGGAAACAGCACGCGCGAATCAGCATAAGAGTGATGCCTCGTGATGAATTTGATTTTGTTTTGCAGCTGAGTATTTTCAGACAGTACATACCTGGCAAGAATCAAATCTCCAGTGGTCAGGGGCACAGTCTTCACACTTGCTGCCAATTACATTCGGCTTACAAACGCATTCTCCAGTGTAAGATATGCAGCGTTCTGTCCCACACTTGTCACAAGAACAGCCTATACACGGAGGAAAGATTTAGAAATGTAAGCATAACTGCAAAATGAGAGTTTTTTAACATCCAGATTTACTTTTCTTCAACATTGGTTACGCCTGAATTTTGTTAAGTTTTCATCGGGTGTAATCTTGAGATTGGGTACAATAAGAGTACCCAATCAATGTGTTTAAATTAGGTTGTTTTTTAAGTACGTTAGCTAAATTTGGGTCCAGTTCGGTTATTTTCGGTCTAATTATTCGTCCAGGTAACACCTGCCGGATATTTCAGAAAGAAATTTTGGGTGGAGAAGTTGAATTACGGTATTTTGGAAGTACCAGACGCACCTTTTCTTCCCAAGAAATTAGTACAAATTTGTTTTTTGGCGCGCCAAAAATGATGTACAGGCGCGCGTAAAAATGTTCACAGGTAAACATTGTAAAGGGACTTTTTTTAAAAATAGGAAACTCTTCTCCCCACTTTCAAATTTTTTGCGTTCTCTTTCTTTAATCATTCCATGATTTGTGCGAAACAAAACAAAAAATCACCATTGAATTTAATTTTCAAGCGGTCTTAAATTTATATTTTTACTCAGGATCTAGTTTTTCGAGTAGGAATTATGATTACTGAAAACCACGGTGCGCTTTTCATACGGGGGGATAACCTTATTTTTTTTTTTGCCAAATTTTAGCAAAAAATCCAAGGTTCTCCTCATAATCACTGGTGCGTTGTACTCAAGTGAATAAAGTTATGAGTGAATGACTTGAGAACATGCATATTCACATTCCCTTGGCAGTGTTTGGACATTATAATTACTGTATATGCGTTTATGAAGAAACCAGGTGTACAAATTAAATGCAGAGGCGCACGAAGAACAGTTTTTAATATCAAGATTTCCTCATTTATTACATCATGGATGTCGCCTAAATTGTGCTAAATTTAATCAGGTCCAGCAAACTTCCGATGAAGCTTTGAAATTAAATTGTTAATTAAATTCGTTAATGATCTATAATTCTATATCCTATCGGAATACAGTATTAGCTTAAAACTTACTTTGACAGTTTTTGGACACTATTGCGTCTCCAAAGTAACCAGGTGCACAATATGCACAAGCAGCTCCTCCAGTGTTGTTCAAGCACTTCAAGCATTCTCCAGAAACCGAGTCACAGGATGCCGGATCCTCCGGATTGGTGTTATCGTTGCATTGGCACGGCTTGCAGAAATCATCTGTATTGTTTTTTTTTCGAGAGAGAGGAAAATAAACCATCACGAATTTTGCCGAATGAACTCCGAATACTATTTACATGGAACTTCCGGTTTGCCGAAATATCCTGCGGCGCATGCGTCGCAACGAGGTCCGTAATAGCCCTCTTTGCAATCGCAACGAATCATTGATCCATCGAGTGAAACTTCGCAAGCATTGGCAAAACTGTCAACAACAAGAAAAAATTCGACTGCGTGAAATGCTGAATAAAATGTGTGTTTTTTTTTTCGGCATGGCGCCATAATTTTTTAACGAGAAATCGGCGCATCGGCCTATTTTATAACCGTCTCTTCTCGATTGCGCAGAAAAAAACATTCCCAAGTGCAGCATTATTTTTTTTGCACTTGAATGAGCGCTAAATTTGCATAATATATATACAGTATTTCAACGCAACATTTTTGCATTCTTTCTGTCTAAAACGCAATTGTTTAATTGCAGAACAATTTCAATGAGGAAAAAACGAAAATTCTTCAAAGACTTTAAGGCGTGAATCATGAATGAAAATGCAATAAGATAAGTAGATGAGATACAGGTAAATTACGTCTGAACAAAATATTCCTATAGCATGAAAATGCTTAAATAAAAAATAAATTACAGTACAATATTTTTTTTGGCCTTCCCGCTGTTGACCTCAGAGGAATTTTCATATTCGTAGAATGAAATTCTAAATCAATAACGTACATGATTCTCTATTTATAGGCACTGAATGCAATTTTCTTGAAAGAAAATCTCAGATTATTTCAATCATCAAAACAGGCAGATAATGTTGTTCAAAAAGAAATCTTCACAATTTTTCGCGTACAATTTACTGATGTGACTAGAAGAAAATTTAATTTAAAGAACTATTTATCAGTTGATTCCAGAAAGGAAGCCCGACATTTTCGTAGTAATATTTTGAGAGAAAAAAAAATTCTGGGTTATAGCTGGAAGTTTTTTGTCGCAAGATTTCACCAGTGGCTGTAAGGGATTTCCTATTTTTTGTTGCTAATTTTGCTTCTAAATCAAAGCAAAATTCGCGCATTTCATAGGATATTTGACGATTTGCTCACTTATTCGAAGGTGTTGGCAAAGGACAAGCACAAATGAGGCAATCGTAAGGCGTTCCTCCAGTTGCATTCCCGTGATAACCAGCGATGCACTGGTCGCAATGATCTCCTTGCGTATTGTGTTGACAATTCTAAAAAAATAAAAACAGCAAAAAGATTGGCCTCCGGGCGTGAATTGCAAGTCAATTCATTAAGGAAAAGGAAACTGAGCTGGGCAAATTATTACCAAGCACTTCCCGGTGACTGGGTCGCATTCATTCGTGTGGCCATTGCATTGGCATGGAACGCAGAAACCCCCGTAAGGTCCGGCAGATGTTCTGTAATGCCCTGAGGCGCATTTTTCGCAGGAAGGACCCTATAGAATTTATGAGAAATAAAGGAATAAAAAAAATGACAAAAATATCATTGAGAGCTATTCAATTAAATATATTTGGAAACAGAATATAGTACTGTACTGAGCATCTCTTTCTCAAATGCGATACTTTATTCGAGCACGTAATTTGACCTTTACTATCATTCATATCTGACCTCAGCGAAGCGAATGCAGGTTGCACTTGATTCTAAATTTCTAACATTTCATCATTAAGAATTTGAGAAAGGGCGCACTCGAACAACAAAAGAATATTTTTTTTGTGGAATGGATGTACATTTTTAAAATGATAATTTCGAAGAAGAAACACAAAGGGATACAAAATAATGAATATACAATTTTAGATGCCGGAAAAATTCAGCACTGTTCAACCATCGTCATCAAATTCAAGCCTATTTTAAGCAGAAATCAGGGATGATACAAAATTATTTTAATGCTTCAAGCATGAGTGATCATGCAGCTGGCTTTCCCAGAATTTTTAAATTCATTTCTGGGGTCGAAAATTCCAATTTCAACTTAAACATTTTTATCAGTAAAATTCCATATCAAACTTGGAAAACTGCATGCATGTTTACGCAAAATGAGTTTTAGTTGCTCCAGAATCAAGAAAAATCTTGAAAAGTTGTTCAATTGAGAAGTTACAAAAATGATGAATGAATTCCAGGAAAAAAGGAATAAATTCATGATGACACCTTCATTGATCATCAAAAATAACGCTCACCTTGTAACTCGGCGGACAAGCACATTGCTCAACAGATGTCGCTTGCGTGTCACCAGCAAAAAACTCCTCCGTCGCGAAATCCATGGTGAAGTTCTTCAAACTGCCCAATTAAAAAGCAAAACAAAGCCAGTAAAAAATAAGTCTTTAACAACAACAAAAAACAACTCACCTAGCTCGAGGAGTGTCAGTGTGTGGCGTGGCTTTCACGAAAATTCCGTCCAAGTTGTGAAGCAACAACAGGAATTGTTCCCTCGTCGCCGGACTGCCCGTTGATTGTCGGAAATTCAATTCGATCAATCGCACGTGTTCTTCAACGTATGCACCAGACGAAGGAATATTCGCCGAAAAGTAAATCAATGATGCATTTCCGCCTCGGATGATCAAATCCGGAGTCGACGTCTTCGAGGCTAAAACAAAAATTATTGATTGCTGAATCGCTACTCATCTTGGAATAAGAACACGTTTACTGGTTTTTCTTTGAAATCTTTGTGATGCTACTGGTATCCCCGAAATTTGTTATAAGCTTGTACACAACTTTTCGAAAAATTGCAAGGCTCCCAGCAAATATGAAGATCATAATTCATGATAAAAATTCTACATTACAATGTTGCATTTATAAAAACGGTCACAAGAACGTAATTCTGCCGCAATAAAAATGCAAGTCAGTTTCATCTTGACCCCTAAAATGATGAAAAGACAGAACTCGATCCAAGGAAAAAACATATTCTTCCTTGAAAGACAAATGTCCTTCTTATTTCCAGGAAAAATCAACTAACAAGAGCCAACCCGCACCTTTTGATGCTGATTTTTAACTCGTAGTTATAAATCTTTAAATTGCTGCCAGTTAATTCTTTTATAAATCACGCTGTTATTGGCGAAGTGATAAATTTCATCAAATAAAGAATAGTCAATATGTTTCATTGCACGATTACAATAGCCTAACGAACATTGTGTTAGGAATTCAAGAATGAATAAATAAATTAGTGACGAATAAATTCCTTCCCTCGGGAATATTTAGGCTTGTGAATAAAAATTTTTTTTTTCGGGGTTACTTGTGAGAGAAAAATAAATCATCTTCGGAATGACCCTATAGAATTTATGAGAAATATATCAACAAAAATATCATTGAGAGCTGTTCCATTAAATATATTTGGAAACAGAATACTGTACTGAGCATCTCTTCCTCAAATGTGATATTTTATCCGTGCACGTAATTTGACCTGTACTATTATTCATATCTGACCTCAGCGAAGCGAATGCAGGTTGCACTTAATTCTAAATTTCTAGCAATTCGTTTTATAAGAATTTGAGAAATGGCACACTCGAACATCGAAAGAATCTTTTCGTGGAATGGATGCCAATTTTAAAAATGGTATTTTCCTTCATTCAACATATAAACGATCATCTAATGAAATTATTCGATTGGATCGTTTAATTATTTTTAATTAACGTTATAATCATTAAAATAATCAGCAGAGTGGCGCAGTGGAAGCGTGCTGGGCCCATAACCCAGAGGTCCGTGGATCGAAACCACGCTCTGCTAATATTTTTACTGCGCCAATTGCTTTCGGATTATTGTATGAAAATAAATGTTCTATTTGATGATTTTGATTTTTAAAGCTGTTTCATATCATTGAAACTGACATTTTACGGAGAAAGTGCGTTCAATGGAAAAATCATCTTGAAAGCAGGAAAAATTCTCGAGGAAAAAAACAAGAATAACAAGTTACAGATCGAAAAATCTTTTCCCACTTCATTGCATACAGTTTTTCCTTAAAAGGTTATTTTTAATGATCATAAGAAGCTTCGAACAATTTTAAAGGTTCCAATTTATCACTTAAAACATACAATTTCGGAAAATTGTCTCAAACCATTGGCATAAAAAAATCTAGCAGAGCGTAGTTTCGATCTACGGACCTCTGGGTTATGGGCCCAGCACGCTTCCACTGCGCCACTCTGCTCTTGTAAATAAATACGTTATTATGTTGAATAAAAAATAATTTAATTATCAAACCAAATAATTTAATTTAACCACCCCGTACTTCGAATGAATTGAGGAATATGCACGTAATTGTATCTCAGTGGCTTGGAATGCCTCGCAGATTCATTGTTGAATAATTTCACTGAGGTATAAAGGATATTCTATGAATTATATAAAATACTGATTACTCATGAACGAATATTTTTTTACCGGTTGTGGATCCGCTGTTTTCGTGCTTGATGGAGAACCTCAAGTAGCCTCCGTAAGACGCGAGACGATCGCCTAAAAATTCATCACCAGCAGCAAAATACACAGAATATGTTTCAGAATCGGAGCCTTTCAACGAAAGCATCAATTCGTCATTTTCGGTGATCAATTGAGTCCTGGAATCGAGACCGACTTGCTGCGAAGCACCGCCGGAAAATTGGAACGCCGAAATTCCCCAATCATCAGTCGCAGTCAACTGGAATATAATTAGCGACAAAGTAAAATTTCTCGTCATTTTTCGCAGTGCATCATTTTTTTCGAAGCATTTTTTGTTGTTGAAATTTTGATTGATTCATACCTGAGTCCAGTACAAGTTCGAGCTGGAACATTGGTCTGTTTTTCCGAAGCAGAAACATTTCGTGCAACCATCCGGGTTCATCTCTTCCAGGTTGAATGAACCATATTTGCAAACGTCGCACATTCCGCCTTCGACGTTCGGCTTGCAGAAACATTGCGATGTTTGCTGCGGAGAAAAAAATTCACAACAACGTGAAACAGGAATATAAGAAAGTGCAGTAATTCATCGACAATTGTACGAGATTATTAACCTGATCGCAGATATCCTCCACAGTTCCTCTTAAATCGCAATTACAAAGTTGGCAGTCAGGGAATCTCCAGTAGCCAGAAACACAGAGACTGCAGGTTCTTCCAACCACGTTTTCTTTGCAGCTGAGAAGCAATTATAATGAAACCGCATGATAAAAAAATTCTAGACTGCGTGGGAAATTATTGGCAATAATGACGAAGACTCTCACTCGCACTGTCCAGTTTCCAAGTTGCATTGCAAATTTTGTTGCTGAACACCGAGGGGATTGCAATTGCAATCTTCGCATCCGACAATCGGATCAAACCCGTACGTTTGCACGTCGCAGTCTCCGCATTTTTCTCCGGTGACTCTCGGAGGGCAAATGCAAGCCCCTATAAATCATTTTTCATCAGCCAAAAAAACCCAATTTTCATCAAAATTAAGTACAATATAATCAAAGAATCAACATTAGCAAAAGAGTATTTTTAACATTTTTAAATATAAATAAAAAGCTGAACAGCACCTGTCATGGGATCGCACAAAGACGTGGACGGGCAGTCGCAGGGTTTGCAATTCGGGAACCCGAAAAAGCCGGTTTTGCATCGTTCGCATTTCCTGCCAATGACATTTTCTTTGCAAGAACATTGACCTCCGAACCAGTCACATTCGAAACTGATGGCCCCTTGGAAATCGCATTGACAAGGCAAAGCACCGTTGTTGTAATCCACGGTCAGCGAGAAAGTTCCTTGTTTGCACAGATCTGAAATTTGTATTCGAAAGATTAAGGCTAAGCTAGAAGAAATTAAATTCGGCATGCGAAGAAATGCACGAATGAGCAAGGGATTCTGCCAGTTTTTCTCAGCATTTCCATGCGCGATTCGTGAGCAAATTTTAATATCGATTTATCATCTTGCTGTTATTATTGTTCAATACCCTGTATATACTAAAGTCAGTATTATCGATCTTTCCATAAGACATTTACAGGAAAATAAATCTATGCGCTCCGCAACGTCTTGAGAACTTGATTGACGGATTATTTGCGGGTATCCAGAAACTCGCCTTCGCCAAATAATAAAGTTGTGATGAGTCTTGATACAGGCATACAAGACGCAAATAAATACCTGTACAGCAGATCTATTGCAGAATAAAGAGTTTGACGGATTATTTGCGGGTATCCAGAAACTCGCCTTCGCCAAATAATAAAGTTGTGATGAGTCTTGATACAGGCATACAAGACGCAAATAAATACCTGTACAGCAGATCTATTGCAGAATAAAGAGTTCGTGAAGACGGAAATTTTTTCATGTGGTCACATTTATTTTCCTTCATTCAACGTATAAAAGGTCATCTAATTGAATTATTCGATTGGATCGTTTAATTATTTTTAATTAACGTTTTAATTACTTAAATCATCAGCAGAGTGGCGCAGTGGAAGCGTGCTGGGCCCATAATCCAGAGGTCCGTGGATCGAAACCACGCTCTGCTAATATTTTTACTGCGCCAATTGTTTTCGGATTATTGCATGAAATTAAATGTTCTATTTGGATGATTTGGATTTGTAAAGCCGTTTACGATCATTGAAGTTGACATTTTACGGAGATTCACGTAAGTTACCTTTTTATAAAAGCTTGATATTACCTCTGTCATCATATAGAAAACATATAGTCCCTCCATAAAAAATTTCAAAGATTTTTAATAAAAAAAGGGAGCTAATAAAGGTAAAACGATATAACGCTCCAAAGATAATTTAGAATTCCTCTCAAAAATGTCCCCAGAACGGAATTCTCTTCCTGCTGAGCTGAAATTTTCTCCAGGAGAGGTATTTATTTATATACAATCGTACTTTAATTAATCATTCACATTTGAATCCTTTATTCATACTCAACTTCTTCATTTATTTCAGCCACTAACTCACCAAATAGTATTTCCTCATTCATCTCTTAATTCTATGTTGACACCTTGATACGTTAATTCGATCATTATCTGTTGATATGACGTATTTCAATCATTATTATTGTTTTTCTCTTTTATTCTTTGAAATATTCGCGCAGAAAACTTATTATTTCTAAGAATCCTTATACGTCGGAAAAATCGTCAAGAAAGATTTTTCTGGAATTACATTGTTAAATATTTGACAAATTGTGAAGCAGAAACATTCAATATTCCGCTGATTATTGCATTTTTTTATAAAAATGCGATTAACCCTTGCCTGAACTTGTGGAATCCGAATGGAAATGATTCTGCCCGCAATTTTCGATGAATTCTCTGGTAAGATCCACAGGGGTTTCCACCAAGTCACTTTCAGAAAACATGTCCACAGGAACAGCGACTACGTAATCGATCCAAGCACTCTTTGTTCCAGGATCCTGAAATCGAGTTTAAAATCATATACAGTATGCCATTTTATTTTAGACACAAAAATGTTAGAAATGCAAAAAGGCGGGTGATTTGAGTTTCCATACTCTCAGCGTCACGGTGAAATTCCCAGCCAGCAAAAATTGATTGTTGCCGTTTTTAAGGCATCGTATCAGGGACGTTGGTTAGCAGCTACCTGTCACAGAGTTACCGTGTCAAGGAAGAACTTAGCCTGGGCACGAGCACCGTTGTCACTTTCCTCAAAGTTTTAGACAACTACTACTACTTTCGTTAGATAATGCTTCCGAAAAAGGGACGAAAGGCTTTTTAATTCATTTTTGTTTGTTTGTTTGTTTGTGAATCATACTCGGATGCTGAGGTTGATAATAATGAACAACGAGAACGAAGTATCCGGTGTAAGGAACTTGTCCTTTGATGGTCAATTCGGGTTCATTGTCGTCAATGTAGATCAAGCCAGTGGTTTTGTCTTGGATCCCCTCGGGCTTGATGCTGGATGATTTACCCTCGTTACCCTTCTCTGCTTCGATCTAAATTCATAAAAAAATAATTTGAATACACGCAGAATATATTGTAAATTATTTTGCAAAATAATTTCATTCGTGAAGCACTAAAATATCTTACTAAAGTCACTGTTGCATCAATCAGATAGATATTTAGGGTGCAGTTTTCCTATAGAAAATTGAAGATTTTTTTTTGTCTCTGAAAAGGAGTTTTATCATTGACTTCTTGCGCTTTTGTGTTTTGTTTTCACTTACACTTGCGAGAGAAAATACAGTTTTCTGAAAAATCCAAACAGAGAGGATGTTCATGATTTCTACCTTCTAAAGGCCGTAAAATTAAAACTCTATTTTATGAGACTGTGTTTCTGCATCAGCACACTGATGTTTCTTAAATCCCATTATTTAAAATAATGAAACACATTATTTTCCAGCAGTTAAATCTGC